GTGGTTTTCATTGGACAGATCCTATACATGTTTTGTTAGCTTTATTTCTCTTTTTTTTAAGTATTTCTCTCTCTCTTTTTTTTCTTTTGGAGCTATTTTAAATGGCATTGTGTTTTAAATTTTGGTTTCCAGTTGTTCATTTTCAGCATATATAAATATGTCTGATGTTGTATGCTGACAATATATCCTGTGATCCTGGCAAACTCACTTATTAGTTCTAGGAGATTTTTTTGGTAGATTCTGAGGGATTTTTCTATGTACACCTGTTACCTGTGAATAGGGTTGTATTATTTGCAAATAGTTTTATTTCTTCCTTTCTGAGCTGTATACCTCTTTTCCTTTCTTTTTCTACTTTTTTTTCTTTGTCTTATCACACTGGCTTCCAACAATATGTTGATTTGTTGAATAGAAGTGGTGAGAGTGAATGTCCTTGCCTTTTCCTAAACTTTGAGGGGAACTATTCAGGGTTTTTTGCTATTATGTATGTTAGTTGGGAGGCCTTTTGGTGTAGGCCCTTTATCAGATTAATGAAGTTCCCTTATATTCCTAATTTATTCTAAGTTTTTATCATGAATGTTAAAATTTGTCAAATGTTTTTACTGCATCAAGTAATAGGAACATATTGTTTTTCTTTTTTAGTCTTTAATATAATGGATTATACTGATCAACTTTCAAACATTGAACCAGTCTTGGATCCCTGGAATAAACCCCATCAAGTTGTTATACATTATTCTTTTTATATATTGCTGGTTTTAGTTTGCTAATATTTTGCTCAGAATTTTTTTCATATATGTTTATAAGGGATATTGGTCTATTTTCTTTTCTTGTACTATCTTTGTCTGGTTTTGATATCAGGAGAGTGTTAGACTCCTAAAATGAGTTGGGAAGTGTTTACCCACTTACTTTATTGTTGAGGCCTATGGATTATTTAGAAATGTGTTGCTTAATATCCCAATATTTGGAGATTTTCTAATTATCTTTATGTTACTGATTTCAAGTTTAATTTCATTATAATCAGCAAACCTACTTTGTATAATTCAGTTATTTTAAATTTATTAAGGTTTGTTTTATAACCAAGAGTATTGTCTATCTTGGTGAATGTTTCATGCACACTTGAAAAGAATTTGTATTCTGCTATTGTTGTGTGTAGTGTTCAATGATTGCCTGTTAAATTCAGTTGGTTGATAGTATTATTGAGTTTTTCCATGTCTTTCCTGATTTTCCATCTGCTGGTCCTATCAATCACTGAGAAAGGACTGTTAAAATCTCCAACTGTAACTGTGGATTTGCCTACTTGTAATTTAGTTTTATTAGTTTTTCCTTTGTGTATTTTGAAGCCCTGTTTTTAGGTGCATGCATGTTTAGGATTGTTATAGCTTCTTCATGAATTGACTCTCTTATCATTATGAAAAGCAATAAGAAGCTTATTCCTGGCAATTTTCCTTGCTTTGAAATCTACTTTGTCTCATACTAATACAGCTACTTCAGCATTCTTTTGATTAATATTCAAGTAGTATATATTTTTTTCTGTTCTTTTGCTTACCTATGGCATTATATTTGAAGTAAATTTATTGTAAACAGCATAGAGTTGGTTCTGGTTTTTTAAAATACAGTCTATGTCTTTTAATTGGTGTGTTTAGACTATTTAGATTTAATATAACTATTGATATGTTTTTATTCAGGTCTGCCACTTTATTATTCATCTCCTGTTTGTTATTTCTGGCTTTTGTTCCTCTGATAGAGGGAAGAAAGCATTAAGGATTCTTCCCATGCCCTTGGAACTATAGTTCCTCTAGTCAGAGGGAAGAATTTCCCTTTTTCGGAATTTTAGGCACCTGCATGGCCACCAGTGCCATCACCGTCGCTGCTATTGTTATTACAAGATTGCCTGCAGGATATGGAAGGAGGAATTGCAAAAGAAAAAGTAAATTCCCCCATCTCTCCAATCCTTTGGGGACCCTTTTTTTGATCCTCAGACCAGAAAAAGAGGCTTTTCTTCCAGCTCTTTCTGTCTGCCCTAAGTGTGCACTTGTGAGTTTCAGGCTGTCTTTGTGTCCAGGCCAGGGTATAATGGGGAGGGGGGATGTGCAGAAAACTCATTGTCAGATTGTTCACGTTCTGGTTTTCTTCCCCATTCTGCCTGGTACCATTTACTTTTCAGAATCCTCAGATAGCCGTTCCCTGCATACCATCCAGAGTTTTTAGTTGTATTGAGTGGGAGAGTTACAGCCAAGTATTACTTACTCCATGTTAACTAGAACCAGGACCTCCTCCAATGTCAAGTTTTGATGTTCAGTTTTTCCTGGCTTTTTACAATGCATCTGAGCAAATTTAGAAATATACTTTTTAAAATTAATGTGTTAGAAAGGTGTTAATTGTTTTGTTACCTAGTGTTTAAAATGAATACTTCTGAAAATCTTTTAAATTCAATAAATGTATCATTTTTATGTCTGCTTAGTATTCCATTGCACAAGTAACTTTTATTTGCTTAATTGACGCTCTGTCATTGGGCCTTTAAGTTTCTTCTGTTTTTCTCCCTTTTTAAACAATGTTTCAATGGACATTGTTATATATTTTCCTTATGCACTCATCCAATTATTTCCTTAGGAGGAATTCCTAATAGTGGAGTTGCTTGGACAAAAAGTATACACATTTTGAATTTTGATGTTATTGCCCAACTACCCTCCAGAAAATTTCCACTCTCACCAGTTGAGTACAGAGCAAATTTTTCTGTATCTTCAGCAACAGTTGTTGTTTTTATCTTTTCTAATCTCTGCCAATGGCATATCACATTTTAATATTCCTTTCTATGATTATCAATCATCTAGAATTATTCAGAATATATTATAATTTTAATTCATTGAATTCTATCAGTGATATTTATTTTATACTTTTAATATTTAATTTCTTATTGTGGCAAAATATACATATAAAATTTTCCATTTTAACCGTTTTAAAGTGCACAAATTCAGTGTCGTTAAGTGCATTCACAATATTGCACAATCACCACTGTCCATTTTCAGAACTTTTTCATCATCTCTGTACCCACTGAGTAATAATTCCCCATTCCTCCTGCCCAATAGCCCCTGGGCACCTCTGTTTACACTTTCTGTCTTTGCGAATCTGCCTCTTGTAAGTGCCCCGTGTAAATAGAGTCAAATAATATTTGTCCTTTTGGCCTGACTTATTTCACTTAGCATGATGTTTTCAAGGCTCATCTATGTGGTAGCATGTGTCCAAAGTTCATTCCATTTTAAGGTTGAATAATTTTCTTTTGTATGGATATACCACATTTTGTTTATCCATTCAACTGTTGATGGACATTTGGAGTATTTCCAATTTGGGGCCATTTTGAATAATGCTGCTATGAACATCAATATGCAAGTATCTGTTAGAGTCCTTATTTTCAATTCTTTTGGGTATTTACCTAGGAGTGGAATTTCTCGGTCCTGTGGTAAATCTGTGTTTAACTTTTTGAGGAATCACTGTACTCTTTTCCACCACAACTGCACCATTTTAAATTCCAACCAGCAACGCACCAGGTCTAATTTCTTCACATCCTTGCCAACGCTTATTATTGTCTGTCATTTTTTTTAAATAGCTGTCCCAGTGAGTGTGGAGTGCTTCATCTATTTTTTAAACGATCTTTATTAGATTTTGCTATCAAGGATAAGTTGACTTTTACAGAGAATCTTTCCTTCTTTCTCTATGCTTTCGCACAGTTGAAATAGCTTAACATTTTTTTCTTCACTGGTTTGAGAGAGCTTATCAGAGGAACCATCTGAGACATATATCACCTGTTTTTAAAGAGATTTATTTATTTATTTTAGAGAGAGAGCGTGTGTATGAGTGGGTTAGGGGCGGGGGGCGGAGAGAGAGAGAGAGAGAGAGGAAGAGAGTCTCAAGCAGACTCCACACTGAGCACAGAGCCTGATGCGGGGCTTGATCTCACGACCCTGAGATCATGACCTGAGCCGAAACCAAGAGTGGGACACTTAACCAGTTGAGCCGCCCAGGTGCCCTGACATATATCATTTTTTAAGAACTAATTCTTTGGCAGCTTTCTTTATTTCTTCACTGCTCACTAACATAAGCAGTTTTGCTAACTCTTCTGGAGCCTTTTGTGTCATTTTTATTTCCCTAGAAAACCATGTGTGAGCTAGAGAGTTCATATAGTTTTTGCTACAAATAAACATATATCACATATCATATATATGTACATATATGGTATGCATGTATGTTATCGTTTTAAATCATTGCCAATGGTATATCACGTTTTAATATTCATTTCTATGATTATCAATAGGCTACAATTATTCAGAGTACATTATATTTTATTCCATTGAGTATATATGACATTTACCATTCCTGATATTTTCTTATTGTTCTCTCTCTCTCTCTCTCAATTAGCTTTCTCAGGCATAGTTTTATTCACTTATTCTTGGATTTGTTCATAGTTCCTCTGCTTTTCAGTTGTGGAGTTTATTGCTCTGGGAAGCAGGCTTTGGGGGTCCCTCCGACTGGGGTCATGGTCGGGCAGCCAGGGGTCATGACTAAGGGCATGCATTTGACAGCCAGATAGTCTGAGTTCAGTGCTCATTCCTTTACTTACCAGCTCTTTGACCTTGAATCATTATTTAACCTCTGCGTACTTCAATTTCCCCATCCATAGAATGGGGGAAAAGATAGTACCTACATTATAGGGTTAATATGAATATTAAAAAGTTGATTGTCTTTAAGTATTTAGAAGAGTACCCGGCACGTAGCCAGAACCATAGAAGAATTTCTTAAATAAATCTAGGCTTTCCTCTAACGCACTAGAAGCCTAGGTCCCCTAGGAGCCTCTCCATTCCCCCAAATATACTTTCTGTACCTTCCCACCACTTACACTAACTGCCTTTTATTTTGCAGAACCACCTCTGTGCGGAAAAACAACCACTTTACTTTCCATTCTGCTGTCTGAGACAACCACATCCTCCTCACACATACCCCAGGCTCCCATGGAGAGCTCAGGTCAGTATGATTGGGGGCAGAGGGGTCCAGTGCCCCTGGCTGCATCACAGGGTAGGCCTCCCTTGCGGGTGGAAAGGCCCCCAGGGCAGGCAGGACCGCCTTCACCTTCACCCCGACCCCCAGCTCAGCTGTCCAAATGTGAGAACATCTTGAGAAGTGGACATCCACACACTTGTATGAGCCCCAGCTGCTTGCAGGTCACTGAGCTGGACATTGGGGATAATGACAATAATAGCCAAGATCTGTCACCAAATGCTTGCATTTATTTAACAAAAACCTCTCTAGTGCTTATACTTTATCAAGTAGTGATAAAAGCAATTGACAAATATTAACTCATTTAGTCTTCATAAAGACCCCATGAGATAGCAGTAATCATTGCTCCCATTTCTCAGAAGGAGAAAGTGAGACCCAGAGGGGACAGGTATTACTTCCAAGGCCATACATTGATACTATATAGTCAAACCAGGATTTGACCCCCACAGTCCAGCTCCAGCCCTATGCCCTTAATGATTTCACTGAGGATTGCCCTGTGCATTCATCAGAAGGATTTGTGAGGTACAGTATCAGTGTAATTGTCCTCGTTTTACTGAAAGGGAAACAGAGGCTCAGAGAGGTTAGGTAATTTGCTCAAAGCTACACAGCTAGTAAGTGGCAGAGCAAAGATCAGAACCAAGGTCTAGCTCATTTCCCAAACCCAGACTCTTCATGTTCTATCAACCTGGGACAGCAAGGAGAGATGACCCTTCCCTCAAGATGTGTATCACCTAGTGGTCACCCAGGAAGTCCCACAGGACTCCTCACGAGGCTTGACTCTAATGCCCTTGAAGACCCCAATCCCAGGGAAGGGGAGGGCACATCCGGGGCCGGTGCAGCTACCAGGTTACCATCCCTAAGACACGCCTTCTTTCCACAAACTCCTCACACCCACCGTCATAGTGCTTCACCCTGCCAGAAGAGGCTCCATCTGAATCAGGCAAGTCCGTGAATCCTGGTGTTGAGATATTCTGGGTTGTCTTTAACCAGCTGGGGTTTGCACCAGGAGGATGGTGGTGGAGCCAGCCCTGTGAAAATTTAAATATTTCAAAACCAGTTTACTTTGCCCCAACTTTAATTGTAATAGTAGACGCATGCCATGCTGTTTTAGGAAGAGAGGCGTGCCAATAAAGTTTCTCTGGATACAAGCAGTAGAAACCCATAGGGCTAGTTTAATTGTCAAAAATAAAGAGTGGCCAAGCCCTGAAGGAAAAGTGAAGCCTCAGCACCAGTAAGGGCAGGGAACAGAGTGGACCCACCACCAGGACAGGAAGAGGTGGACAGTGTCCTCAGAGAGTGCTCCACCTGTTCGTCCCTGCTGGCCATCACCTGCACAAGGTTTGCCTAGAGGGAGAGAGAGTCCATTGGCCAGCTCGGTCCTGTGCGCACTCCAAGGCCAAGGCAAAGCAGGGCACCTAGGCCGCAGTCTCGCCAAGACAACAACAAGCAGGGAGGATTGCTGGGCAGAAGAACCAACAGATATCCACCACCAAAGATGTGACAGATGACCCCCCGACCCACCCAAATCAAATGGGCAGAAGGAAACGTCCCACATTTAGGATGCTTGCCCTGGGAGCTCTGAAGGGGAGTTTTCCCATCATGATCAGAACAGCAGTTGTACGGGCTGTCTTCCCAAATTACAAATGTTTATAACTTCCCACCTTCCTGTAGCCCTAAGGGGTTCTGTCATTCTAGAGTTAAGAAGAAGGACCCCTGAAAAGTAAGATATTTATTTTAAGGGATACAAAAGGGCAATGTTGCACAGATACCAACACTATTGTTACTTAGCCATCCCTGCAAACAGGGCCAAGATTGCAAACATTTTTAGAGCAATTTGAACCTTTGTTCCACATGGCGGTAAGGGGGATCAAGCATGGGGTGGAAGAAAAGCATGAGCCACATGACTCCAGCTTATGGTGCATCTGGGTGCCGAGCCCAGATTTCAGTGAGCAGCTGAGATGCTGAGACAGCTGTCTATGCACTGGGAGATTCCGAGACAAGTCCTCGGTCCTGGTTGGAAGGGCAGTCCGCGAGGTCCAGATGGTCAACATGTCAAGGTCAGAGAAAGGTCATCCTCTGAAACGGAAACCAGTGTACTAGGTGACATCCATCTGTGCAGAGCTAACCTACCTCGGGAGACCCAAGTTGGAATCGGAACACACATAGACCAACCGTGTTCCTCTCAGATGTTTAACGGCTCACCTGGCATGAGGAAACGGGACCTGGGGTTAGTGATTTTATAGTGATTTTAAAAGAGAACAGACCGGAAAGAGTTTATTGGTAAATTTCCATTTCCATCCCAGGGAGGGGGTGCTGATTCGGATGGTTGATATCCAGAAAGTAGAAAAGGACAATTCTTTTCAACACTCTAGTTTGAGGGGAACATCCTTTGGGAATTACAGATTCAACCTCTTTGGTAAGAATTTTGTGGATACCAAATGACCTGAGCGCCGCTGTAACCCTTGCATCTGGGTGGACATGTCCACCTCCCAATTCCACTCCCTGGCTGAAGAAGGCTGAGGAAGCACTAAGTTTGATTATTCTATCAGCCTTCCGCATTCTGATGCCATGGTCCTCTGTGGGTGTGTTCGGAAGGGTATCCTACTGTATACACATATGTAGAATGAGATTTATTATAAGGAATTGGCTCACATTATTATGAAGGCTGTCAAGTCCCAAGGTCTGCAGTTGGCAAGCTGGAGATCCAGGAGAGCTGATGGTGTAGTTCCAAGTCCAAAGACAGGAAAAAAACCAATGTCCCAGCTGGAAGGCAGTCAAGCAGGAGGAATTCCCTATTACTTGGGGCAGGGGGGGAGGGGGTGCGGCGGTGTCAGCCTTTTGTTCTATGCAGGCCTTCTACTGATTAGATGAGGCCCACCCACATTAGGGAGAACAATCTGTCGACTCAGTCGAGTGATTTAAATATTCACTTCAGGGTGCCTGGGTGGCTCAGTCGTTAAGCGTCTGCCTTCGGCTCAGGTCATGATCCCAGGGTCCTGGGATCGAGTCACACACCGGGCTCCCTGCTCCACGGGAAGCCTGCTTCTCCCTCTGCCACTCCCCCTGCTGTGTTCCTGCTCTCGCTGTCTCTCTCTGTCAAATAAATAAATAAAATCTTTGAAAAAAATAAAATAAAAAATAAATAAATATTCACTTCATCCAAAATCACCCTCCCAGAGATGCCCAGAAGGATGTTTGATCAAATGTCTGGGCACCCTGTGACCCAGTCAAGGTGACACATAAAATTAACCATGACAAGTAGGAATAGAAAAATCTGAGAAGATTTTATTCATGTCATGGCTGGACCCCAAGAGAGTTAGAGGCCTAGTGTCTGCTTCCTAGCTCCCAGGGTCACATTTCTGGATGAATGCCATACCTATTGCAAAACAAGCTAAGAAACAGCAACAAACAAAAATCAAACTTTCTCCAATTATAATCTTTGAATCTCCTCCCACCACTGTGACAGCCAGGGAGGAGCCATTCTGACCCTGTGACCTTCATCCTTAATGCAGGGATGATTGGCGTCTGTGAACTCTGAGCGTTTTGGCACCTGACTCCTTCCTTGACCAACAGGTTAATTGTCCAGAACTCAGCTTATCACCTAAGACAGTAATTCTCACCCTAACTGTCCATTAGAGTGTACTGGGGAGCTATTAAAAGAAAAAAAACATTATTAGTCCCTACTCTCAAAGATCTGATTTAAACTGGTTTGGGGTGGGCTGCACATTAGTGCTTTTTAAAGCTTTCCGGGTGATTCTCCCATGCAGCCAAGATGGGGAAGGAGGGAAAAGGCAAACATTCTACAAGGATGTTTGGGAGAGATCTGTTTCTGTCTGGGATCACAGGGCAACACAGAGCTGGAATGACCAAGTGCTACTATAGAGGCAAATGGCCTGAAATTGAAGACTGGACCTTGCACTACCTTGAGAGCTGGGACTCTTTTTCCGGGCAACTTTGTGTGGGGCATTGGCTTTTGGCATTCAAAGCCCAGACACACATAGATGGACATGTGTCCTTCTCCCTTTTCCGGGTAAGCAGGTGAATATAAGGGCACATATAAGGGTGAAGCTTTAGAGGAAGAGCATCTGCCAAAGAGAAAGCCCTGTTCCAACAGCTCTGTAGCCTTACACAAATCACCTCTCCCCTCTGAGCCTCATTCGCCCAGCTATCAAATGGGACGAGAGCCTCCGAGGTCCCTCTGGGTGTGACTTCTGTGTTTGGAGAGGCAATATGGGGCAAGAGTAAGAGCTCTTGATTTGGAATCTACGAAACAAAACAGGGAGAACAGTGTTTGCCCTGCCAAACTCCCAGGGCTTTGCTCAGAATCCAATGAGATAAGATTCCAGAAAACTCTTGGCGCGTCTGCGAGTCTGTCAGAGAAGTCTAGCTGCTGCAACAATGACCCCGATGTCAGTGGATTAGCACAACAGATACTTATGTCTCACCCACTACACCACCCAGTCCAGGCTCCAGTCCTTTAGGGACTGAGGCTCCTTCCCGCTTGTGGCACTGTGTTCTCCAACACGTCTTCCAAGGTCACCAAGGAACGGGAAGAGAGAGGTGGAGGATAATGCAGAGGATTTTTTTTTAAGATTTTATTTATTTATCTGTGAGAGAGAGAGAGAGCACAAGCAGGGGGAGGTGCAGAGGGAGAGAGAGAGAAGCAGACTCCATGCTGAGCAGGGAGCCCGATGCGGGGCTCCATCCCAGGACCCCGGGATCATGACCAGAGCCGAAGGCAGACGCTTAACCAACTGAGCCACCCAGGCACCCAACACATAACATTGTCTTGCCACACCTCTGTAAGACTCTGTGTGTATGCCTTTTATGTGCTATTTAAATGTTAGTTATTAATAGTAATGTGATGCCTGATAGTAATATCCCACGTTCCTGGATGGAGGGGAAGATAATAATTATGAATGTCATTTATTTATTGGCTGTTCTGAGTCAGGAATCATAGAGACATGCATGTCGTATATGAACAATCCTGAGACGCTCGAGGCACAAGAAATATCCCCTTTCTTTTGGTTAATCAAATCAAATCCGGCTTCAAGCTCTCATTTTCCAAGGTCAGCGCAAATTCCAGTGTCAGTCGCTTGGGGTGCTTCCCCCGTCTTTGTGATCTTGTAAGCCCAGGCGTTACAAAGTCTTCGTGATGGGAAGAGGCCGTGGTCTTCAGTCCACGTAGCCACAGCCCACCCCCCTCCCCGAACAGGTTGGCCAGGTCTGCACGGTCCATAGGGCGAGAGGGGGTTCCTTTGGAGACATTCTTGTGCGCTGGGGAAGGTGACCGAGGAGACCACAGCAGTGACCCTCAAGCGCAGAGTGTAGTACTCACCTGCCTTCAGCTGAGATCTCTGCCCACCCCCACCCCTGGGAGGCTGTGTCCCAGCCAGCCCTAGTCATTCTCATTCCCTGGGTCCCCATAACCCTTGGGCGCTCACGGTCCTGGGGAACCCAGCCTCCCAACCTTGGGTTGCCACTGTCCTCAGTAGCTAAAACCAGCAGCCTTCATCCCCATCCCTTTGAGACAATCCAGCTCGGGTGTCTCGGTCCCATAGCCCCGGGTCTCAAACCCAAGGGGCCGGGTACAGGGTGTCGATGAGCAAAACAAGGAGCGGGGGCACTGTGAAGAACCAGAGTAGCTGTGCCCGTCTCAAGGGGGAACCCCCCTCCCCAGCCCCGTGGATTGCCACATGTGCGAAGAATGCACTCCTGGTGTCAACAGACTTTCAAGAGATGCCAGGAACCCAAACTTTCATGCAAAATCTCCTGATTTGTACATGTTGGCAGCTCGTTCGATTTTTTTTTTTTCCAAGACACTCTGCAAGCCCAAACAAAACACGTCTGCAAGCCAGATGTGGCCCAAAGCCTGAGCGTTTGTTCCGGCCGCCCAGACTTTCGAAAACATAACTTTATTTGGGGCTGTCTCCTGGGGCTACTGGCAACTTCTCTATTTTTCTCTGAAACATAAAAGCTTGACTCCCTGTGCAAGGCAGGGGAACCCAGGGCTCAGAAGACAAAAGCTTGGCTGCCCTTCTAGTGAGGGGGCGGGGAGGAGATCCCGTTTATCATAGTTCTAAGTCTGTGCTGTCCATGGCCCGGTGGCTGGGGAAGAAGGGAGGGCAGAAGGAAGGAAGGAAGGAGGAAAGAAGAAAGTAGACGTCACGTAATGTTTTAATAACTCCGCCTGCGTGAACTCCTTAAATCTCCGTGCAAGGTGGAGACAGGTAGATGGAAAGATAACTTGCGACCAGGCTTAAAGATTTCTTTGCCATTGTGGGGGGCAGGGGAATGCTGCACTGCCCAGCAGAGTGGCGGGTGGAGAAACTTGGGTTGTAAGAGGTGCCCGCTCTCAGCCTCGGGGAGACTCGGGAACAGACCTTGATGAGGTCCAGGGGGACCAAGTGAGCGGCAGGAGAAAGGTGGGGGTCTCAGACTTAGCCGAGCTCACGCCAGAGCCCCGGAGGGGCCGGTCCCTGAGCACCAGCGCCTTGGCTAGACACATTCCACCTGCTGATTCTTTAAAATGTGTGATCTCTATCCTGCCTGCTTCCAAAGGAATGTGAGGGACTTAAGATATAGGTTTAGTAGAACATACAGCAGGAACACCAAAAAGGAGCAGAGAGGAGGCGTCCCCGTCCCTGGAGATGAGCTGGGTTTTGGGGGCTGGGGACCCCACTTTGGAAGTTTCCTGACAACCCAGCAAAAGAGGAACCCCCGAGGCATGTGGTTTGTGTTGTCTGACAACCAAAAAAGGCACGCTTGCCTATGAAGACAAATGCTTGGTGAAAGCCGGTCATAAAGAGGAATTTATGGTGCAGGAAGTGTCTCTCATGCTTCCTGTTTTTAGTCTGGAGGCTCCAAGAAGCAGACTTCACAACGGAGTGGCCATGCAGGGATTGAGGTGGGGACACAGCCCGGGGGCGGGATACGGAGAGGGTGCTGACTGACACCCAGCTCCGAGGGAAGGAGAAAGAGTCGAAGAGCTCATGGAAATGCGTTCGACTGAGCTGTGACCAAGAAAGGCTCAGCAGGGCGGCTGGGGAGCCCTGAGCTGAAGTCAGGTGCCTGGAGGGTGTCCAAGTCTTGGAGGAGGGGTACCACAGTGGCCGGGAGCCTGGCCCCGTGCCAGGCGATGGACTGCAGGTGCACAGCCCCGAACCCCCCCCCCCCCCCCAACCCTGGCCAGCTAACCTCCCTGCAGTGCGAGATGGGCCAGGGGCCTCCTCACTGCTCCCATGCTTCCCGATGTCAGAGGCTCATCCTCGTACCACGCTCATGCTTTGCCACGTCAATGGGCCACAGTTGAAGAAAGAACGATCCCGTGACCCTGGTTCCAATGGCTAAGGAAACTTTTTTCTAGACTATCACACCAGGGGACAGAGATGGGGCTCAGGCCCAAATGACACAAACCTGGGGAGTTACAAGCCCACGGACCGCGAGGGGGTCGGCGGGTGGGAAATCGGTCCGAGGAGACACGGGGCATCTGGATTCCGGCCGACAACGTTCTGCTCAAACGGGGCCAGGCGGGCAGGAGACAGAACCGGGGCCGAGGCCGGCGTCTGGAGGGGAAGGTGGCTTAGCGGAGCCTGAGCTAAGTTGGATGAGGGGACAGTCTGTCACCTCCTGTCCCAGCACTGATCTGACGTGAAAGTGACTTGAAACTTAAGAACACATTATATTTTTTTCGAACACACATTTTAAAAGGTGCATAATTATTCAGGTTTTAGGACCACGTGAGTGGCCCCTAAAATCGCCCTGTGTGCCACGGCGCTTTGGGGGAACGTGGGTTTTACAGAGAACACAGAGATGCTAATTGAAAGGCTCTCTTGCAGACCCGTGTGCGGGCTGCCCCGCTCTAAGCTGCTCACTTTGGTGCACCTCGTAGGGCTTATAGAAGGGGCGAAAGATGGTCTCAGGGAGAGCAGGGGTAGGGGCAAGGGTGAGGCCAGGGGCGCGGAGCTCCAAAGCTCCTGGCCTCAGTGCTCCCTCCATCCCACCCCTGCTCCCCAGATGTGGAGCTGGACCTCCAGCGGAGTGTGCAGGCAGTGCTCCGGGAGCTCAGCAGCCAGGCCCCAGCCCTGCAGAACAACCAAGGTAAGAGCCAGCAGGCAACCTCTGCACCTGCTCTTTCTCCACCATCTCCCCAGCTCCCCATGCGAGCAGAATTCCTCTTGGCCCTCTGAGCCCGCACAACGTCCAGAAATGTGGCCCGAGGCGCTGAGCTGCAAACCTAGCCAGCCCATAAGCCACACGCACACTCTGCCCCGCTAATGTTCCACAGTCCCCGTCCTTTCCGCCGTGAGAATTCGCTGTCCTCGATGGGTAGCGGAGCAGAATTCCCCCATGTGTGACAAGCCCACCCTTGTGTCCCCAGAGCCAGGAGCCCGGCGGAGGGGTTGGGTCTGTGGCGGGTCAGAGTCATGGTGTGGGGCTCCAGGGCTCAGGGTCCTGCTCGGGGGGGTGGTCCCCTCTGAGAGCCCTCTGCCCCGCCTGTGTGCTGGGCTCCCCTCTGTCCTAGCCAGGCATGTGGAGGTGGTCCCTGCACAAGAAGGTCGAGCGAGATCCTGGTAAGAGTCCGGTGCTGGTCCGCATTCTGCTCAGAGAACTGGAAAAGGTGGGTTCTCAGGCTGCGGGGAGGCAGGTGGGTGGGGGGAGGAGGGAGAGAGGGGCAGGGCCCCAGTCCCACCAGGGCCGCGTCCCCCAAACTCTGGTCCCTTGTGGCCCGCCTGCGTGATTTTCAGCAGCTCTGTCTCCCTCCTGTACTTCTATTAGGGATATCTTCTTTACGTTAACTCCCATGGTTTCACCTGACTTTGCATATTTCAAACACTCTGTACCGTTCCAATACATGGAAAACCCCCACTTGCAGGAACAGAAACGGCTGATAAACATAAATGCAGACCTATTAAAAATGTTTCAAAATTGTTCTTGTACCACCCAAAAGTATCCCCCACACCACCCGATGCTCTGCGTTGCAACCGTTCGGGAGATGCTGCACTCAAGGCACCTCCGTGTTGCCGGGGGGGGCGGCTGGCTTGCTGCTTGGCACGAGCTCCTGCCCTGAGTGGATGCCCCACGCCCGCCAGGCTCTCCCAGCCGGCTCCCACCCCTGTGCTCCCTCCCCTACTGGGGCAGGCTGTGCCCTTTTCCCTCCCCTTGGTGTGATGGGACGCTTGCCTTCCACCCCATCTCCTGCCCACCCCCCACCCCCCCAAGCTGCATCCTGCTAGGGTGTGGGGAGCCCCCATCGAGCCCCAGCCCAGTAAATGCCCCGCGGTCTCCTGTTTTCCAGGCAGAAAGCGAAGACCTCCGGCATGTCATCATTCCCTTGCTGCATACCCTCCTGTACGTGCTCACTAAGGTGAGCTGGGGCTGAGGGTCGCGGGCGGGGCGTCGTGGAACCCCACAAGTCCCAGGGCCAGACACGGTCCTCTCCCTCAGAGGACACCCGGTCTCTGCCTGGGTGAGCCTAGAACTCTTGGAAGCCCCAAACTGGCTTCTCCACCCTAGCGGCGCCCTCTCCCTAATACACGGAGGGGAAGTGGGAAAAGCAGGTCACAGAATGCACGCGAGCCTCGACTGCCAGAATGAGGTCCTCAGGATTGCTCCTATGTGCACTGGGGGCCATCGCTGACCCCTGCACAGAGAAGGGACAAGCCACAGAGAAAGTGTCTTGAGAACAGGAACCAGGAGCTGAGTACAGTCACAGCGGCTGGGGGTGGGCAGCGAGGGACATGAAAGGCGTGAAGAGCGGTTCAGGGGCTGCTGGAATCCAGGGACAGGATGGGGCTGGGCTCTGGGCACCCGAGCATCCTGCCTCCCACCCAGGCCACCGGCATCACGGAGGAGCTCTACCGGAGAACCTACAGCTTTTGCACGAGGCTGCTAACCCTGCCCGCCCCCTACTGCACAGTAGCCTTGGACTGCGCCATAAGGCTGAAAACAGAGACAGCTGTCCCAGGTAAGAGCTGTCCCAGCTAAGTCCCAGCTGCAGCGCGTCATCGTCTGGCTCTTTCTCCAAGGTTCCTGGAGCCTTAAAGTCCCGGCACCTTCCGAGGAAGGCGAGGAATGGGGGTCAGGGACCAGGGGCTGGCTGGCTGAGGTGGTCTGCTTTGCAGGGACACTGTACCAAAGGCTGGTCATTGCCGAACAGAACCTGACAAGTGAGATGTACCCCTACCAGGAGAGGTGAGTGGCCCCGGGAAGACTGCTGCCTTCTGTCCCGTCCAGGTGTTGGGACTACGTGACTGCTCACTGAGGGGGACCAGGCAGGGTGGAGAGGAACCCTAGCCGAGCTTCCCATGCATGACATGTGTCCAGCAGTGGGGCGTATTTTCAAGGGTGGGCGGGGCCTGCCTTCTCCGGAGATCACCCGAAGCAGGGTAGGTCTTTCTTGTTGGGCTGGGCCTCCGAGCCGTCCTGCTCCCGTGCAGAAGGTGACATGAGCCCTGAGCCACTCTGGAGTTCTGTTGTCCCACCTCCATCCCGCCCTTGGCCGTGATGCAGCATCAGCCAGCCAGGCAGCCAGAGGTGGCTCTGGGGTATTTATAGCTCAGGCCACGAGCGCACCAGGGAGTCTGGGCCTTTCATCTGTGTGTGCCTCGCCCTTTACGCAAGATTGAGCCAATGTCCACTTGTCGTGTTGGGAAGAGGGGCTGATGGAGTTGGGGTGCCGTGCCTCCCGCCCTGCAGGTACCACTGCTGAGCTCTCACCGGAAGGGGCAACTTGAGGCGGTGTTCACGGAGGGTACACGGAGGGTACAGGGTACACCCAGAGGAGCTGGCAGCGGAGAGGGGGAGCAGGTGCGGGAGGCTGGCTTTCGGTGTGATCAGGCAATGGGAGGAGATGGGGCTCACTCATGGTCCAGAGCTCATTTGGGCAGGAAGGATTTAGGGTCCCTCCTGGAGGCTGATGTCATCAGTGGGCCCCAGAGCTAGGGGAGGGAGCAGGATTTAGGATGGGGCTTACCTGGACTCTAGACTAGCCCTCCCTCTCCCCCCGCCCCAACAGGGACGAGCTGTTCCTGCCTGCTCTGATTTGCCCCAGTCCCCACCGCTCCCTATCGCCGTCCCCCTCCTAGACTTTCGAATTCGAGGCTCCTGTTTTTGGAGAAACAAAACACTTGGGGGCTCTGAGGCTCTGAGGGTGCCCATCCAGGGGCTCTTCTCCTGGTAGTCGTCCTCACCAGCCCCCCCACCCCCAACCCCCTGCCCTCAGAGTGTTCCTCTTCGTGGATCCTGAGCTGGTATCTCCCTCCGTGTGCAGCGCCCTGCTGCTGGAGATCGAGGCGGCCCAGGCGCAGCAGACCCCGGAGGCCTGCATGCGCCACGTGGTCTCCCACGCCCTGCAGGCTGTGCTTGGGGACGCCTGCCATGCAAGTGCCCTGCAGAGGAAGCTGAAGGTAACTGCCCTGCCCCAGCCCTCCTTGGCTGTAGCCCACGCCGGCGCTCCGACTCATCCTCCCCCTTCTTCTATTTTCATACCGCTTTGCCCTCAATCAAAAATGAGTACACACTCACAGAGGAAGATCGGGGCGGGGGGGAATGCACGTAAGCCCAAAGAGGAAACAAAAATCCCTCACACCCCCCACCCAGACATAGTAGCAATGAACATTGTGATCTGTTTGCTGAATCACACTGACGACGCTCATCATCATAGTTGCTGTTGACGACTAAACGTCTGCTCTGTTCCGGGCACGGCGCTAAACACTTCGCAGGTATTGCATTTAAAAATTCTCACCACATCTTAACAATGTTGTGAAATGGATATAATTATCAAAATGGGCACAGAGAGGTTGCTAACCTACCCACGGTCACACAGATACAAAGGGACTGAGTCGGGATTTGAACCCAGATCTCTCTGACTTCAAACCTATGTTCCACCGCCTCCCAGCCCCACTCCCCCACCAGTGCTTTTTTAACAAAAGGAGATACCAAACTCTGTATACAGTTTTTATATACTGCACGCGTATGTGCCTTTATATAGTTCTGATTTCCCCATGCCACTGGAAATACGCCACATGGAAACGTTTTCCTTGGAAAATATGTACCCCTAATGGCTGCACCATATTCTCACCTATGAAAGTGCTGTTATTTATTTAACTAGTCCCCCGTTCCTGTTGTGGGCATTTCATTCATTTCTCACGCTCGCCCGCTTACTTCCTAATTTCTCTCTCTGACTCAGCCTGGGCCCTTGTACACAGCCAAGGCTCCAGTGGGTTAGAGATGCTCCGGCCAAGGGTGGTAGCAGGTGCGGGACTTCTTAGAGGGGAAGGATGCCACCTGGGGCTGTGCGTCCTGCACCGTGGGAGGCGACCTTTTTGAGGGGAAAGTCTCCGGTCGTCTGGGGCAGCTGGCTGGGATCGTGGCTGAGGTTCTGAGCTCGGGACTGTGGGGTTGCTGCTATGGGAGGGACAGGCACCAGGAGGGGGATGCCCTTGGGGGCTCAGCTATGCCCCGCTTGTCCTGCCCCAGGAAGGGGTATCAGTCCTTCATCCAGCCCTGTCTCAGACCCTGCTTTGCCCATCAAGATGCATCGGATGCGGCCCTGTTCCTCTTGCCATTCTCCACCTGGAACCCTCCATCCATGCTCTGAGCCCAGCATCTTGGACACTTCCTTTGACGGTGACTTTTATGTATGGCTAGGTCCCTCCTGAAACCATGACGATTGTTTTCCATCATTCCTTTGCTCTCAAAGAGCCCTTCGTGCCTTCAGAATCCCATTGCTTTGCAGTTGCTGGGACCTGTGGAAGGTTCCCAACTCACTCCCCTTCCCCACTATCTTTTATGTCCCTCATTGACGGCACCCCCTTTGGGGAGTTCACAGCACCGGGCCACATCCTGGAGGAAGGCGCCCCAACTCATACCTAAGCCCCATGTTGGTTTCAGCCCAGACACCTATGGCCCCAGATGGGGTTACTGTCCCTTCTCCCCGCAATGGGCACGGGTCTCAGAAAGGTGAGGAGGGGAGGAGTTTGTCTCCTGACCCAGCAGCCCCCACCACCTCCCAGCAGCTCTGGTGATTGTTTCTGGCCTAGAAGACCCTCTGAGAGCAAGTGCCCTGGATTATGTCCTCTGGCTGTCTTCCCTCACCCTCACCCACCGCTAAAGAATCCCATCTTTTAGCTTAGAGGATGCAGGGTTCTAACAAGGACATCAGCAGGCCCACCTCTGTTCTGTGCTAGGGGTCTGCTGAGCAGGGTCCTGACTTCCCGATTAAGGGAGAGCAGGTCGTTCTGAACAGCTAGGGCTCCAATAAATATTTGCAGAATGAATAAATAAGGCAATTAGAGGAATATATGAATCAGAGTTGGAAGGGGCCATAGGATCCATTTCATCTTGTTGCTTAATTTATAAATACATTAAATATTTACTGAGCACCCACTATGTGTCAGGCATTGTTCACTGTAGGTGCTGGGATCCAGATAAAAATTCCTGTCCTCAGGGAGTTTATATTATAGTGTATCTCTTTCTCTTTCTTGTTCTGTGTGTGTGATAATAAACAAGATAAGTAAAATGTATTGTATGATAAATAACAGCTAAAGGGGAAAATGTGCAGAGAAGAAGGATATGAAATTGGGGGGGAGGGGCTGAAATTTTAGATCATGTGATCAGGGAAGTCTCCCTGTCAGGTGACTTTTGAGTCAAGTCCTAAAGAGAAGAGAAAGAGCAAGCCACGTGGATATCCAAGAGAACATTCCAAGCATCGGGAACAGCAAGTGCAAAGGCCCTGGGGTGTAAGCATGTCTGGTGTGTTTGAGGAACGATAAGGAGACCTGTGTAACCAAAGCAGAACAGGAAGAGAGGGAGAGTGTAGAAGATGGAATCAGATGGAATCAGAGAGTAAACGAGGTGGTGGGACAGATCTTGAGGGTGTATATGACTGGAGGCAGGAAGCAGCCGTGCTAAAGAGCATGGAATGCACAACGAGAGGCTTACAAAACCTGTTTCCATTAATTTCCATTAAGGAGAAAGGCTCAGCTTGGTGCTTTACCCCTAACTTCTTTAACACTAACTTCCCTTTTTAAAAAGGGAAGGCAGCAGGGGCGCCTGGGTGGTGTGGTTGATTAAGATCTGACCCTTGGTTTTAGGTCGAGTCGTGAGCTCAGGGTTGTGAGCTCGAGCCCCACAACGCCCTAAGGCAAGCCCCTGGTTGGAGCCCCATATGGGGCTCAGTGCGGAGTCTGCTTAAGATTTTCACTGCCCCTCCTCCTGGCGCTCATGCGTGCGCTCTCACTCTAAAATAAATAATAGGGGCGCCTGGGTGGCTCAGTTGGTTAAGCGACTGCCTCCGGCTCAGGTCACGATCCCAGGGTCCTGGGATCAGGTCCCACTTTGGGCTCCCTGCTCAGCAGGAAGCCTGCTTCTACTTCTCCCACTCCCCCTGCTTGTGTTCCCTCTTGCTGTCTCTCTCTGTCAGTTAAATAAATAAAATCTTAAAAAAAAATAAAATAAATAATAAATTTTGGGGCTCCTGGGTGGCTCAGTCGGTTAAGCACCTGCCTTCGGCTCAGGTCATGATCCCAGAGTCCTGGAATCAAGTCCCGCATCGGGCTCCCTGCTCAGTGGGGAGTCTGCTTCTCCCTCTCCCTCTGCCTCTCCCCGTGCTTGTGAGCTCTGTCTCTCTGTCTCAAATAAAAATAAAATCTTTAACAAAAATACATAAAATAAATAATAAATCTTAAAAAGGAGAGAGAGAGAAGGCAAGCTCCAAGCTCTAAAGCCTGGCAGGCCAGAGTACCTGGCTAGAATTTAATAACAGTGCCTTGTGATCGTTATAGACACCTTAGTTATTGTCCATTACCTCTGCGACACTAGCCTTTCTGTAGAGAGCAGCAACATAAATTGCCGCTCTGAAATCATTCTGAACCCCAAAAAATGAGGTGACTGGAAGAAAAATAGCAAGTAAATACTAGCAGAGGCAGTATGTCAAGACAGCATAGGAATGACAGAAGTCTAGGGAATATTCAGCAACTGTTTCTTGAGCACCTACTATGTGTAGGAAGATGTTCTAGGGGCATCGGGTGCAGCTGCAAACAGCGGCCCGCCTTCCCGGAGTTTGCATCCAGGTGGGGGCAGCACATTGATCCCAGGACGGCGATCCCTGCCCCTCTGGGGTCCAGCCCTTGCAGGGAGCCACAGTGGGAGGGACGGGGGGGGGACCCGCAGCGGCAAGCAGCTTCAGGCAACCTCGGAGCTGGGGTGGTTGGGTGCTGGGCCGGGACCCAGGCTCTGGCGCGCCCCATCCCCGACAGGCCAGCCCTCGCCACGCCCTGGAGCGCTATTTCCACGCCGTGGTGGCGGCCGTGGAGCAGATGGCCGGCGAACCCAACCCGAGCCGGGAGGGACACCTGGAGAGGCTAGAGGAGATTTACTGCTCGCTGTTGGGGCCGGCGGCGGCCGCCAGGGAGAGCTGCTGCGGTAAGCGGGCTGGGGCAGCGAGGCCCGGCGAGGGCCCGCAGGGGGCGCCAGAGAGCAGCGCTGCACCTGCCGCGCGCGGCTCAAGCGGGTGGCAGCCTGGGGACTGAGGGCCGCCCAGGAGCTTGGAAGGTCGTGGGGGGGGGGGCAGCTAAGAAGGTGGGTGATTTGGTCACAATGGCAGCTGGCACCTGCGGGGCACCGCCTGTCCCCCAGCTGCCGTTCGAGGCACTTGACATATATTTAAATATTGCATGGATTAATCCTCAGAGCAAACTTCTGAGACAGAAATTATGCCCCTCGTTTTATAGACGAGAAGCCTGAGTTAGAAAGAGGCTGAAAAATCTTGCCCAACATCCCCCGGCTACTAAGAATCAGACCCAGGCTGTGTTGTAGAAACACGGCAGGGAGAAAGGCGACCGGCCTGGCTGCACTTCTGGCTCGGGGTTAGCGGGAAGGGACCAACCATGGGAGGAAAGGTCTCAAAGGACACTAGGAAGTTTGCAGGAAACAGGGGGCCGCTAAACAGCCTCGGGCAGGGAGGGGGCAGGTGGCTGTTGGGCCCTGGGTGAGCCGATGGGACAGAGAGGAAGCCTGGGCTGGACCATACGGGAGAGAGGGTCTCTGCACCCACTCTGGGCCCTATAGGAACGGGAGGGGGGAGGGCAGAGAATGCCACAGCCCTCCTCCTGCCTTCAGGTGACCGCCTGCAGGACCCGCAGCCAAGCATCCCTCTGCCCAGCCCCCACATCACCTTCCACCTGTGGACCGATGAGGAGCAGCTCTGTAAGTGCCTTGCACCTTCTCCGTGGAGAGCTGGCTGGAAATAGGGGTGTGTGTGTGTGTGTGTATTTCTCGGCATCTGTGTATACATTCATGTGTCTGTGTGGCCGTGTGTATTGCGTCTGCGTGTGTGTATCTGTTACTGTGTGTGTGTTCACGTGTGTGCTCCTTGTTCCTGAGTCGTTCTGCACATCCGGAAGGACCCATTTTCTCTATGTCAGAATAGCTCCTGTGCCTAGGAATCGCCCCATGCCATGTTGATGCTAATAGACAATGAATGTCCCCAGGGAGGAGGCAGTTACCCAAAAAAGTTACAGTTCCAGCAGCTGGAGGGGGTGTTCCAGAGAGAGCCGCCGGCCTGACAGTTCTGTCCACCTGTGTTCCCATGCGGCTGTGCCCAGCCCTTCTCAAGGCAGGCGGGGGCGGGGGGGCGGGCAGGGGTGTGGATTATGGTGCGAAGTGCTGGGCTAGTGAACCGGGTCCAATTCCTGGCACTTCCTTTCCTATGCTGGGTCACCCTACACTGACTCAGTTTTCTCATGGGTAATAAAATGAAAGCAGATGAGAAAAGCCTAGAAGTCTTTCCTGGAGCAGGTGCGGTCTGTTCTCCGCGTCCCAGGGTAAGCTACAGACAGTGGGAGTTTGGGAGGAAGCCGATGAGTGGTGGATACGATAAAGAGGGCTCCAGGGTCAGCTAAGTGGGAGGGACTTCTTTACTGCAGGACTTCTCAGAGCCTTTAATATGTTTACTGATGGAACTCCACAAGAGGTGGCAGGAATATGCGGGGATCTCTGTCTTTGTCAGGCACAGAACCTTCGTTCCTTCGTGGGGCATCTTGTGGGGCTTCTATTTGGCTGAATGGTGTTTGAGAAACACAGAACCACAGGCCTTGCCGGGGTGAGACCCTGCCAACCTCACGTAACTTCTCTGCCCTGACGGTTCCCTTGTTCTTGGCGTCCCAGGGAAGGAACTGGTCCTCTTCCTGCGTCCGCGATCCCAGTTGCGCCTCAGTGCTGACTTGGAGGCCTTGGATCTGCAGGGCCTCTGGCCAGACCGGGAGCTGGCCCGGGCGTCCATGCTGTCCACCGACAGTGGCATCGAGCGGGACCTCCCTGCAGGGGCCGACGAGCTGCCTGTCCCCAGCAGCCCTGAGATGGAGCGTGCCGGGCTGCAGCGCAAAGGAGGCATCAAGAAGCGGATGTGGCCCCCCGACGTCTTGATGCCTGCGTGCTGGGACGGGCCCCAGGGGCTGCACCGCAGGACGGGCATGCCCAGTGGGGATGGGGAGCTACTGCCCGGTGTCTCCCGGCTCCACACGGCCAGGGTGCTGGTGCTGGGGGATGACAGGATGCTGGGGCGCCTGGCCCAGGCCTACCACAGCCTCAGGTAGGGCCCCATGGCGGGGGGCAGGGGGAGGGCAACTGCAGGTGGGGGTGGTGCTGGCCGGGGCACGGGTGGGCCCATGCAGCAGGGGTGCGGTCACCAGCTCGGCACTTTGCAGTGAGCTCCGTAAGCCCCGCCACTGCCCCTCGAGACAGAGATTACTGTACCCATTCTGTAGATGGGAACACAGAGGCTTCAGAGAGATTGAGCACGTCGCCCCAAGTCAAGAGATACTAAATACCAGAACCAGAATGTGGAACTGTTGGGAGCCACAACACCTGCCTTTACCCCTGTGCTCTGCTGCCCCTTTCCAGGAAACGAGAGACCCAGAAGTTTTGCCTCACCCCCAGACTCAGCCTGCAGCTCTACTACATCCCCGTGTTGGCGCCCGAGGTGGCTGGGCAGGGCAGGGGAGGGAGGGGAGGGACGTGGGGGAAGGAGTGGGGGGGCTGTCTGCAGCAGGGGTCTGGCTTAGGGGCTGGGCAACCACATCCCTGGCTCCAGGGACTAGGATCCTATTGTCCTTCCTTAGGATGCGGGGCCGGGGGAGCCCTTCTATCAGGTCTGTGTCCCAGAAGCCCCAGACGCGGGCCCTGGAGGCTGAACGTCCCCTCACGGGGGCGGGGGGGGGGGCGGGCAGCCTGCCCATTGCTGAATTTTGTTTGGCTTTTCTAATGGAATTCATTGCAAGCTTCTCCTCAAACAGGGGCTTGCACACACAGCATGCTTCCTGGGGTCACATAAAAGGAAATTTTAGACAGTGGGAGCCCATTGAGCTATTGGGGGGTGGGGGACAAACTTACCCTTGCAGCTTTGCATTTCTGCCGTCCCGCTCTGCTTGCTTTTCCGGGAGCAGTAAATTCAAAGCAGTCCTTGTCTCTCCACTTCCAAGGCTCATGGTCATTTCTCAATGTCCCTGGCAAGTGGCCCTCGGTCAAGGGTATCTCAGCTTCGCCGGGGGGCGTAAAACCTAATGGTCTTCACATGGCAGAGAAACTGAGGCCCCAGGAGGTTCAGTGATTGGCCAGTTTGCCTAGGGGACCCTCTGGCCAGGAAGAAAGTGCCAGAGACCGGGCCTGATGGGCCCGCCCCGTCCCCCTGTCCCCAGGAGCTGCCGTCATGCAGACATTCAGAGCTCAGAGAGCTGGCCACGTTCCTGGGCCGCGCAGACCCGTGGTACCAGAGCACCGTCAACACACTATGCCCGGCCATCCACAAGCTGGCAGAGATGGTAGGGGGCCCGCGAGGGTAGGGGGGAGGTGGGAGGGGCCCGTTTTCAGATACCACCCTTGGCTCTCGACCTCAAGAGTCAGCCCCAGGGCCTGCCGGGGTGGGGTGAGGCTGGAAGGGAGCACAAGGGAGATGCCCTAACCAGCTCGTGGTGGAAATTCACTCGGCACTCTTAACAGGCACCTGTTCTGGGGGCGGGAGGACACTGGGGACAATGTGAAGGAGAACCTTCTTCCATAAGGGTGTAGCCCGTTTCTTCCTTCTCTTCTGAGGTTCCTGCGATGGCTTCTCTGTGACTGTAAGAGCCTGTGCCTCCTGAGAGCTCACACGGGCCAGGCACTCAGCAGCCCTACCAAGTAGGCACTCTTGCTGGCGGGTGCTAATGTTGCCATGTCCCCATTTTACAGATCAAGCCGCGGGGATGCAACGAAATTAGGTAACTTAGTCCAGAGTTGCAAAATGAGAGGTAGAGTCCCACTTGGAATCAGACAGCTTGATTCCAGAGCGTATCCTTTTGACCACAACACCGGGCTGCTACCCCCCAACCCTCCTGGGTGGTAGGGAGGGAGTTCCCATCTTTTCCTGACTTGAAAAGGCCTTTGTCTATTAAGAGAATCTTTTTTTATATCTTTCCAGTAAACTCTACCCCCAACATGGGGCTCGAACTCACAACCCGGAGGTGGAGAGTCTCATGCTCCACCAACTGAGCCAGCCCCGCAGGCACCCCTCATATTAAGAGAATCTTTTTTTTTTTAAGATTTTATTTATTTAATTGACAGAGAGAGAGAGAGAGAGAGGGAACACAAGCAGGGGGAGTGGGAGAGGGAGAAGCAGGCTTCCCGCCGAGCAGGGAGCCCGATGCGGGGCTCGATCCCAGGACCCTGGGACCATGACCTGAGCCGAAGGCAGTCGCTTAACCAACTGAGCCACCCAGGCGCCCCCATATTAAGAGAATCTTAACCTTTTTGGTGTTGCAGACTTTTTTTTCCCACTTTGTTTATTTGCCTATCAATCTCGTCAGTAGTGTTTTTTGACTTACAGAAGTTTGATATTTTTATGCAGTTACACACAGAACTCTTATCCTTTGTGATACCCGCTGTTGGAGTCCTGCTTGGAGAGGTCTTCCTCACTGATTACGTTATATCCAGGATTAAACTAATATTCACTGATCATTTACTGTAACTTTTCAGGTCTCGGTTTTTCCATTTAAATAACCTGCCTGCAATCAATTTCAGGGTTGAGTGTGAGGCATGCAAATTGCTTTTTTCCAAATGCTTAGCCAGTTGTCCTAAAGCTATTTATTGCATGAGCCATCTTGCCCCGTCAGTCTGAAATACCCATTTTATCATCTACTAAATTTTTACAGATGCTTGAGTTTATTCCGGCACACTTAACTCTTTCTCGTTAATCCATTCATTATCGGCCACATTAGCATTTGTTAATTTAATAGTTGGCAGGGTAAGCCTACCCCATTACTCTTCTTCTTGAAAACGTTTCAGACTATGTTTGTTTGTGTCTGTTTCCAGATAAATATTAGAAATTTGGTCAAGTTTTTTTTTTTTAATCCTTCCACCCCCCCTCCTTGGGATTTCAATTGAAATTTGGAAGAGAATCAGCCTCTTTTAGGGTGTTACGCAGCCCCCTCTGGGAACATGGTGTTTATCTTCATGTAGGGAAGTCTTGTGTGTGTCCCTCAGAATAGCCTTACACTGTTAATCACAGCGCTTTTACCCATTCCTGGTTAAATTTCCTCCTTATGTTTCCTAGTTTTTTTCTTGCCTTCGTGGATGGTGTCTCTCCCCCCTTATATCTGGTCAGCGGGTAGTCCCACATAAAAGGAGCCTCTTGATTTTAGGTACCTGACTTCTGACTTGACGCTCTACTTGATTAGGGTGCTTTCTTGTACCTTCTAATAGAGGTGTGCGGGGAGGCCTGTTTCCTGAATTACTGCTTACCCCAAAATTGTCTTTGCGTATGCACAGGAGACTGTTTAGCTGGGTATTGAAATACTTTTTTGCTCAAAACTTGGAGGCTGCTAGAGGAGGAACGTCTTATTTGTGCTCTGTTGTCGGTAGCTTTTATTCCCATGCTGGTACACACGCAGGATTTGGGGCCCTCCCTGTTCTTCTTGCCCTCATAATTAACAATTTGTACGGCCCCAGTGCTTCCTCCAAAAGCGGTTTCCACAGGAAGAGACTGGGAACAGTGTGAGCAAGGACAGCCTTGTTAGAGTACATTCACCGGTCCTCCATGTGGCCTTTCTGAAGGGAGCAGTATTTCGATAGGGCCACACGGGAGAGTCAGAAGAGATGTTATAGGATCGGGTAGGAGTTGGATGAGATAAACTCTAGCTGCTTTCCAATTCTGGCACTATGTGAGCATTCCATTTATCTAAAAGGAAAAGCAACTGTGGTTCTGCTTTATGATCATAGGAGGAAGGCCTGAAGGACATGGTACTAGTGTTTTCCCAATAACCCACAAATGTAAATTAATCTGTGATATACTTAAATACCCCAAGAGCTGAAGGAGACAGCAGATCCCCTCACTTCTCATGCCCTAGGTCACTTGGCCAGTGAGTGGCTGGAACCCAGCCCAGACTCTGTGATCACTGGCTATATTCCCAAGCATCTTGTCTACCCCAAGGCACCCAGCTCAGTGCCTTCCACCTAGAGGCATCCCATGTGTCTTTGTGCAAGTGGAATGAATCAGAGGCCCTGGGGACCTGGGGGTGGAAATCGGATGGGAGGAAAGGCCTAGAGTGTGTTGAGGGACCAGCTGGTTTAGTGCCTCACAGAGGGTACGTGGGAATGTTGGAGTTTCTCTGTTACCAAAATAGGACCCCCCACAGTCACATGGAGGGCGGTGGCTGAAGACCTTCTCTGCCCCTTCACAGCCCCCTTCCCTGGACACATCCCGGACTGTGGACCCCTTCATCCTGGATGTCATCACCTACTACGTTCGCATGGGCACCCAACCCATCTACTTCCAGATCTATACTGTCAAGGTAGGTATCCCCCACCCTGGGACTCCACGGGTAGTGTACCAGCCTGCAGGACCCCAGGACCCCACCCCCTAAACACCCTTGCTCTGGGGAAATGCAGGTTACCAGGGTACAAATCACAGACCCACTGGACTTGGTTGTTAACTGTATCCTCCCAATCTTTGGGTGCATTGGATAATTCTCAGCTTCAAAGACCTCCAGTGCAAGCAGAAACAGAATTTGTTCATGTGGAGGGATGCCTTAGGCTTTGACCCTGTAGAGGACGGGGGACAGGCAGCTGTGAAAATTATCACCAGGAATTGCTTTACCTCAGAATTCCTAGATGCTCACTTTCTAGTCTCTGATCACAAACTCCCATCCCTGCAAGACCCTCTCACCTTCTCCTCCAGGACCTGCCTCCTTAGAGAGATGGGCAGGTCCTTCTGCTTTCTCATGTCCATTGGCCCCTTGCCGTGGTTTCCTGTACCAACCCCGGCCTCCCTGCCCTGCTGTCTCCTGAGCCCAGAGCAGTGCTGCAGTGTGCCTTACCTTTCACTAAGCTCAGGCTCCTGAGCACCATCTGGAAAACATTCCAAAGCCCTCTGGCTGGACACAGACACCTCCGTGGTGTCCAGCCTCAGCTGGGCCTACACTGCCTTCTTGGCAAGCTCCCCCTTCCCTGCTTTTCTCCTGTCCTTCACTTTCAGCAAGTGACTTTGTCATCCACACCACTGGGGAAAATGGAGACCATTAGGTGTCCCCACGCATGCTGTCCACACCTATCAGTGCATCCACACCTTCGCGTACGCCTCCCCAGTGGATACGGAGCGCCTCCAGCTCCAGCAAAACCCCGTTATCCGTGCCCTTCCTCTCCTCACCCACCTCCTCCCGGACCTCCCCCTCAGCCAGCCCCTCTCCTGGGCCCTCCCCTCCCCCATGCTGTCCTTGCCGCCGAAAATGCACAGAACAGCCTCTGGAGCCTGCAAGGTTTCCATTCATATTCCTGCTGAGCGTGTTGCCTAGGGACAGGGCCTGGGAGGGAGAGCCCGAGAATCCGACTCTTCCCAGACTTTGTCTCAACCTTATCTCCCACCTTGTTTTCAAGCTCCCAGGCTCAAATGGTGGCAGGGAAGTCAGGTTTTTAAACCCTCTGGTTCCCAAGACTGTCCAGCTCTTGTAGGCTGATCCAGTCAGAAAGGAGCTCTCTTGGAGGAGAAGTGTTTCTGCCCTCTGTGCTAAGTTCCACCAGCGTCTGCTGACAGTTGGCGCTCTCTTAGCGTCCCTCACCGACACACACCTGCATCCCCGCCCCCTGATGCTTCAGCCTCCTTAGGCTCGGGGTCTGAGCACGGGTCTCCAGTGGGCAGGCCTCCCAGTCGCCACTGGGTAGAAGGATGCTCACCGCCCTCCACTCCTCTTGGACTGTTCACTTGCAAAATGCCCCTCCTGGCTCCTGTTTTGTGTTGGGGAAGACTCTTGGAGTTGCAAGTAACAGACATCTTAAAAATCAGTGTCAGGAAACGAGTTCTCTTGGCTCACCTCGCTGGCAAGGGCAGAGTTGACGTGGTTTTGGAAAAGCTGGGTCTGGGGCTTCAAACGCGGTGATCAGTACTGCGTCTGCCTCGCTTCGTCTCCCGTCCTGGTGACCAGATGACCTGCAGCAGTCCCGGGCCAGCATTTTTTTCAAGCTCAGCAACCCCAGGTGGGGAGAGGGTGTCCCTTTTCCAATGGGATCGAGGCTAATGCTCATCAGTACGCCGATCACTGTGACCCAGGAGATGGGCCACACGTCCGTCCACCCTGAAGCCAGGGCTGTGGGGTTAGATGGCCCAACCTCCATCTCCGTCTCTTCTGTCTCGCTCTGTCCTCCAACCAGGCAGTCTGGCACTTCTGACACATTCTTGCCAGTGACCTCCTGTCGCCAGGCCCGAAGGATGCTTCCTGTCCTCTCTTTTGGGCCCTCTTCTACATTTGACACCCCGGGCCACGATACTTTTCTTCCTTTGTCTGTACAATTAAATGTGTGATATCCATGTGTGTGTCACAACAGCAAAATCAAGGCCCTCATTTCCCCTTCTTGAAGCCCGCCCCCCACCTGACTTCTGGAACCTTCTCTCCTGCTACTCGTCCTCTGTGACCTTCAGAGAGGCTTCTTTGCCTGGTAGCCCCTTCATTCTCTCTTTGCTTTCCATACACACCCTGATGCTCCCACCTCCAAGGCTTTGCTCACACTGTGCTTTATCCTGGACTTCCCTTCCTGACCCCACCACATTCTCCCCTGCCTCCTCGCCAGTCCTCACCTCTCTGTTTCCTCTTGCCCCCCACGCGGGCTCAGGTGCTTCTCCTCTGTGTCCACAGTGCTGTGGGCACAGCCCTTGCTTTTCCCTACACCTCTGTAACAGCCCTGCTCTGTGCATCGCTCCCCACCCAAACTGTGAGTCCCTGGAGAGATGGTTCTGCGCTTTGTTTGAATCTGAATTTTTTAAGATTTTATTTTTAAGGAATCTCTACACCCAACATGGGGCTCGAGCCCACAACTTTGAGATCAAGAGTGTGCTCTACCGACTGAGCCAGCCAGGCGCCCCCTGTATCTGAGTTTTGAGTCTCACGCCATTAACACAATAGTATGTGTACACGCCTGTGTGTGTGTGTGTGCATGCATGTGTGTGTGCATGCATGTGTGTGTGCATGCATGCGTGTGTGCATGCGTGCGTGTGCGGGCATGTGTGTGTGTGAGTGTGCACGCGTGTGCATGTGGGCACATGCGTGTGGGCGTGTGCGTGTGCATGCGTGTGTGCATGAGTGCATGTGAGTTGCATGCGTGTATGCATGTGTGTATGCGTGCGTGTGTGCATTGTGTGCATGTGTGTGCATGCGTGCGTGTGCAGGCACGTGTGTGAATGTGAGTGTGCATGTGTGTGTGCGTGTGTGCAGGCATGCGTGTGCATGCATGTGTGTGCATGCAAGCGTGTGTATGCATGTGAGTGTGCATGTGTGTGTGCATGCATATGTGCGCATATGAGCGTGCATGCGTATGTGCGTGCATGTGTGCACGTGCGAGTGTGCATGTGTGTGCGTGTGCATGCGTGTGTGCGTGCGTGCGTGTGTGTGCATGCATGTGCGTGTGCGTGCAGTGAATCCGTGTGGCACTGGCGGGCCGTCAGGGTGCAGCAGGTGTGGAATCAGAGGCCATGTGGGGTGGTAGAGAGTCCACAGCCTGGCTGGTCCCTCCGCTTGCTAGCTCTGTGGTCATGGGCACCTGGAAAAGAGGCATTATGATCTTCACCTGCCTTAGGGGTTTCATGAGGCTTCAAATATGGTAAAGACATGGGGGGAGGGGCAGGGCAAGGAGGTAGGCACGCAGATGATTCCAGAGCCGTTCCAGAGCAGCGGCTGAGATGCTGACTGACAGCCCAGCTTTGCTGCTTGTGACCTGGGACAAGTCAGCGCACATCTCTGAGCCTTAGTGTCCAGGATCCTAATGGAGGCTAATGAGGCCCATCCCCTGGTGCTGCTGGGGGGTTCAATGAGGTCACGTAGGTCAAGGGCCTTTCTCAGAACGTCTAGTGCAGAGTAAGTTCCCAACAAAAGAGACTCTTGAGTCCCCTCCCCCACCAGCTCTCGTTCATCCAAAGATCCGGCCCGCATTCCCCCAGCAAACGTCTGCGACAGAGCTGGACATTGGCACGTGTCCCGGGCTTCCGCTAGGATCTCCCTGCTAGCTCAAGTCTAATGACTATTTCCGTGAGTCCCCATTCCATGTTTTTTTTTGTTGTTGTTATGTTATGTTAGTCACCATACATTACATCATTAGTTTTTGATGTAGTGTTCCATGATTCATTGTTTGTGCATAACACCCAGTGCTCCACGCAGAACGTGCCCTCTTTAATACCCATCACCAGGCTCCCCCACCCCCCCTTCCCCTCTAAAACCCTCAGTTTGTTTCCCGGAGTCCGTAGTCTCTCATGGTTCGTCTCCCCCTCTGATTACCCCCTCCTTCATTTTTCCCTTCCTTCTCCTAATGTCCTCCATGCTATTCCTTATGTTTCACATATGAGTGAAACCATATGCTAATTGTCTTTCTCTGCTTGACTTATTTCACTTAGCATAATCCCCTCCAGGTCCATCCATGTCGATGCAAATGGTGGATATTCATCCTTTCTGATGGCTAATATTCCATTGTATATATGGACCACATCTTCTTTATCCATTCGTCTGTTGAAGGGCATCTTGGCTCTTTCCACAGTTTGGCTATTGCAGACATTGCTGCTATGAACATTGGGGTGCATATGGTCCTTCTTTTCATTACATCTGTGTCTTTGGGATAAATACCTAGTAGTGCAATTGCTGGGTCATAGGGTAGCTCTATTTTTAACTTTTTGAGGAACCTCTACACTGTTTTCCAAAGTGACTGTACCAACTTGCATTCCCACCAACAGTATAAGAGGGTTCCCCTTTCTCCACAACCTCTCCAACATTTGTTGTTTCTTGTCTTGTCAATTTTTGCCATTCTAATTGGTGTCAGGTGGTATCTCCATGTGGTTTTGATTTGAATTTCCCTGATGGCTGATGATGTTGAACATTTTTTTCATGTGTCTGTTAGCCACTGTATGTCTTCTTTGGAGAAGTGTCTGTTCGTGTCTTCTGCCCATTTTTTTGACTTGATTATTTGTTTTCTGGGTGTTGAGTTTGAGAAGTTCTTTATAGATCTTGGATACCAGCCCTTTATCTGTAGTGTCATTTGCAAATATCTTCTCCCATTCTGTGGGTTGCCTCTTTGTTTTGTTGACTGTTTCCTTTGCTGTGCAGAAGTTTTTTATCTCAATTAAGTCCCAAAATTTCATTTTCACTTTTGTTTCCCTTGTCCTTGGAGACATGTCTTGAAAGAAGTTGCTGTGGCCGATGTCGAAGAGGTTACTGCCTATGTTCTCCTCTAGGATTTTGATGCATTTCTGTCTCACATTGAGGTCTTTCATCCATTTAGAGTTTATCTTTGTGTATGGTGTAAGAGAATGGTCGAGTTTCATTCTTTTGCATGTGGCTGTCCAATTCCGTGTTCTGAGGAAGGCCCCGCACCGCCCCATCCCCCAGAGATTTCTGGGGGCCGCCTCCGCCATTCCTGTCTCCTTCTGAATTCTCCTTCCTCCCCTGGCATCCCGAGATGGATCTTTATCACCTTCCCCCTTTCAGACCTAACTGAGGAATTTAGGCCATTCTTGGGTTTCCAGAAGACAAAACCAAACAACACAAAGTGGGACAATTGGGAGAAACCTCTCACACAGGTAAAGGGAGTAAACATCTCAGCACCGCAAATAAAAGGAAAGGTTAGGCATCCGTCCACAGTCAACGCCTTCAGCCGGAGGCCCCAGGAGCGCACCTGCCCCCGCATGGAGATGGGTTTGCGGATGCGGGAGGAGCAGTGCACAGCGTGGGCAACCGCCGGGAGTGGTTCTGTGATTGGGCATCTCGGACGTTCTTAATTCAGAGTGATCCTTCGATTCTGAGAGGCAGCAGTCCCCCTCACGCTTACCTCGATGGCAGGGTAGGGGGATGCGGCCCCCACAGCGTTCCCGTTTTTGCGACTGTGGCAGGGCCTGGTGTTAGTCTTGACCTATCAGGGTCACAGAGCGGCCTCCGCTAAGGATGCTGGCATCTGTGAAGTCCTTGATGGTCAATGTGAGCACGAGGCCTCGCTGGGAGCGCCCGCCCAGCTCACAGCCCACTCTCGGTAGCCACTTTCCTTTCGGGATCCCCGCTCTCAAAAATCCCTGTGGCCACCCTTCCCCGCTGCGCTGCCTGGCTCCCCTCAGAGGCCCCTCTGGCCCCACATTTCTGCCCCTCCCCCAGAGCGGCTCAGCTCCCTCTAGCCCTTCCCTCCCAGCCCAGCTCACGGTGCAAGTCAGGAATGTGGTTCCCCTCACTGGACACAGCCCCACAACGTGAGAATTCGGTTCCCAGCTCCTGCCCTCCCCATTAGACCACACTGGTTACAGGTAGTTAGGGTTTCAAGACCAGCTTCTTCCCCGATTTATAAATATGTTATATGGCTGGAGACATGTGGACTACAGGTGCAGGAAGTCACTGGATGCGGCTCAGAACCTAGCTCTAGCAGGATGGTGGGGGACCCTTCCGGACGCTATTCAACTATCTGCACCCTCGGGCTCTGGGAGAGGAGGGTGAGCTGGCCTCCTTCAAGCCTCCTCCCTGTCCCCCTTCCCTCCAGATCTTCAGGGACCTGAGCCAAGACCCCGCAGAGGACATTTTCCTCACTGAGCTGAAGGTGAAGATCCAAGACTCCAAATTCCCCAAAGGTGAGCATCTGTTTCCCCTTTCCCAGAGCTGGCTGACTCCACTTGCCGCCCCCTCCCGCCCCCCGCAAGCGCTGTTTCCAGAAAGTCCTCCCCACTCTCACCTTCGCTGAATACCGGGATGCCCTTGGCTCCTCCAAGCCTGCCTAGACTGGAACCCTCGAGGTGCTTCCTTCCATCCAGGGAGAGGTGCTGTCAAAATTCAGGAGCTTAGCTCGCCCTCGGTGAGGCGGGGAGCAAGGCGGGACAGGTGGGAGCCTCCCATCCTCAGCCTCTTCTGCCCTTGTGCTTCAGATGGCTTTTCACCCAGGAGGAAGGGCGCGGCCGAGGGCCCAGGGGCCGAGCTGTCCATCTGCTACCAGAAGGTGCGTGGCCGTGGGCGTGCTCAGAGGAGGTTGGGGGGTGAGTACGGCAGGATGGAAGCAGGTGCCAGGGACGTGCAGGTGGGGAGCAGATAGAGCCAGAACCTTCAGCCTCTTTTCTTGCAGCTGCCCCCAGACTTCTCCCAGCCTCTGGAGAGTTTTGCAGGGATGGGCGGATTACAACTGGCCTTGCGTGCAGCCCAGGAGGCCATCTGATTTAAGGAACAAGGGAGCTGTCCCATCGCTCAAAAATACCTTCCTCCCTGGCCGACCAGATGCTTGAACTGATGGCATCAGAGACATATGCCCTTGGGTCTGGGAGGCTGAACGTGTTCCCTGGGGCCAAGAGTGCTCCAAGCCTCGCTCCGCCAGCCCCTTGTTGGACAGGAGCGACCCAGACGAGAATCTCGGTCAGACCAGGGGCAAAAGCAGGACTGTTGGCGTGAGGATGCCCAGGGACAGGGCTCTTCTGAGGACCCCCATCTGTTCCTGCCTCCCCCTCCCCAGGCCCTGCTCAGCCACCGCGCCCAAGAGGTCTCCAGTTCCCTGCGGGCCACTGGGCTGGTCCTGAAGGCCCTTCCAGCCAGTGACACTGAGGGTGAGGAGCAAGAGAGAAGGCTCAAGAAGCAGGGAGGACGGGGAAGGAGGAGAATGACAGTCGAGTGACAGTAGACGGGAAGAGCCAGGGGAGTTGGGCCTCCCACCTGTCCCCTGAGATCCTAGAATGAGGCTGAGGCCCTACTGGCGCTGGGCCCCGGGCCGGGCGCTGGATGCCTGGGTGAGGCGCGGTCCCCACCCTCAGGCTGCTCACCAGCCGGGAACGCACCGTAGCCATGGCCTCTGGCTGCGCCCTGTAGCCCCGATGAGACACCAGCTGGAAGCGGGAGGCACCCCATGGAGGCAGGTGCGTTGCCCTCCTGCTTCTGCGTCGGGCCCGTAGAGCTAGCTGTGTCGGGTCTGGAGACGTTGGATGTCGTTCCACGGGGCAGGCACTCTCCAGTTCGCAAAAGGCACCACTCGTCCAAATGATCTAATTCTGGCCAATTGCCTAATTAGAGCTATACAGTAGACAATCAGATAGTCGATCTAATCACCTAACTACCTAAATCTAAAATGGGGATGAAAAAAGATACCAATTTATAGGCATATCGTAAATTATGCATATGAGCTCTCCCGTTAGCCCCCTGGTCTTCTGAAATGACGAAAAGTTTTCCCCCTGGTCTTCTGAAATGACGAAAAGTTTTGTAAGGTGGATTAACATCACTGAACACCTTCATCGGAGGCCAGGCCATGTTCAAAGTCAAACACGTCAACACTTTGAATCCTATGAGATAGGCATCATTACTGCTAGCAGCTTTTTACCGGAGAGGTAATGAAGCCAGAAAAATGACCCACCCAAGGTCACCTCCTTCCTCCCAGGTTCAGGGCCCACCCACGCCCCCCCACCTGCTGCTCCAGTCATAGACCACAGGTGCCTGAATGTCAACGTGATGGAGGTGGTCAAGTCCTCCAACTTGGCGGGCAGGTCCTTCTCTGTAAGTACTGGTTTGAATGGGATGCTCCGACAGGGTAGGTGGCTGGGAGCCCGGGGTGGGGGTGTTCAGAGAGGGGGAAATGTCTTCTGAGCCTTTGCTGTCGAAGTGGGTCTTCCTATTGGAAAGAATCTGCTTTCCCCCCATCTGTGAGGTGCTGAGCGTTAAGTAAGACACAGTGAGACTTAAGGCCTTGCCCTCCACCTGCTGGCCCTCCAAGGACCTAGAACATGCCCCAGATAGAAACTGCGTGCACATTCTGGCTTCTCCTGTAGGACCCAGCAGTCAGACTCCTACGCAGCAAACCTTGGACCAAATCAAACCAGCTTTTTTAACCTCACTGCCCTTTGCCCTTATTGATACTTACTGATTTGGATTCCCTTATTGATACAGACCTAGAACCTGCCCATATGCTCCCTATCTGATGGCCTCTCTGGACTTCACTTCCCTACTCAACTGGGCTGTGAATCCCATGATTATACCTGAACCCTATTCCAGACGCCCTCCACCGCCCCCCCCCCCCCACACACACCACCGATCAGGCAGACACTCCCTTGGGATCAAGCCGCCTACTCGGTCTGGCTCCAGTGGCTTCTTCTGGAATAAATCCTACATCCACGGGAGCAAACACCTGACCTCCCACCTCAACAGGACCCTTGGCAACACTCAACCCTCTTCTCTTGCACCTCTTCCGGGCTCTTGTTCATCTATGTTAGTTCCATTTCTCCAGCGTGGACCCTCTCTACCGCTCCTCCCTTGTAGCCTGGAAACGTGCTCGGGTCTTTTCCATCCTAGAAGGAAAATCTCTACCATGATCCACTTGCCTCTCTAGCTACCACTGCACTCCTTCTCTTCCTGGTCAGGGGTCTTGAGAGATACCCCCACAGGAGTTTCCAGTCCCTTGCCAAAGACTCTCCTCCCCACTGCCATCTGCATAGAGCCCACCCCGCCGTGGCAAAGTCACCTCCGCACCACTAAGACCCAAGTTCACCTTTGAGTCCTTAATGTTTCTTTTTCTTCCCCTTTAAAAATAATGTTTGTTTTTGGGCGCCTGGGTGGCTCAGATGGTTAAGCGTCGGCCTTCGGCTCAGGTCATGATCCCAGGGTCCTGGGATCGAGTCCCGCATCGGGCTCCCTGCTCCATGGGAAACTGCTTCTCCCTCTGCTTCTCTCTCTCTCTCTCTCTCTCTCTCCCCGCCTCTGTCTCTCATGAATGGATAAAATCTTTAAAAAAATAAATTAAAAAAAATAATGTTTGTTTTTTAAAAAGATTTTATTTATTCATTTGACAGAGAGAGACAACAAGCAGGGAGTCCTTGAAGGGGATCTCAGTTTCCAATCCCTTGGGCCTGTCCCCTGGTCCCCATGGCTGTTGAAACCCAAGCCCCTTGATTCCTGACATCACCAAATGCCCCTGGGACGACAAAGCATCTGACCCACACAACTTCAACTTTAGAATTTATATGGCATTGTCTTCACTGCCCCATCTATGATCGATTTTCAAATATCCTGTGATAACTAAAGAGGACATGTGTGTTTTCTGTCTATAGAACACAAACTAAGGTACTTCATTATTAGGTCAAACACATCATATTACTCAAATCTGCCGTGTAGAAATGTTGGTCTGCTTCATCTAGCCAAAACAAGAAAGGTTTGTCCGCATTCCCAGTATGGCTTTGATTTTGTCAATTCGATCTCAGTTTGTTCAAACCTGAGTGTTCTAGTTTCTGATACTGCTACGGTGGGATAGGATGCCTCCTTCTGCCCAGTCTTTGTATAAGACTTCCTTTCTCTCCTTTCCTAGAAGCTTCTGATGCTTCACTTCATAGAAGGTTCTGGAATATCACAAGCACATGCATTGGTGGAATCTTTTTCATTCATTATTGTGGATCTTTAAAGGACGTTATCAATCTGGAGACTCCCATCTTTTGGTTCTAACATATTTCCTAATGTAGTTTTAAAAATTATTTCCTTCCTCTTCCCTCTTTTTCTCAAAGTTCTACATATCTGAATTGTGACTTTTTGGCCTCTTTCCCTGGGCTCTTTTTCCTAAACCGGTTCCTTAAATAGCTACCGTTCTCAACTTCCATCCACAGCTCACTTCTTTTCTCATTCCCTGGACTACCTAACCCGCATACGTGGTTGGAGTCCGATGTGCTCGGGACACCCAAATCTCTATCTCCTGCTCTGGTGGTCAAACCCCGAGTTTCTGACTCTGCATTCCACTCCGTGGGAACCAGACGTCCCACAACACCCCACACTCAAGACCTGCAAAACCAAAGCCAGTACTTTCAGATAATTAAGAGCTCTCCAGAACCAGGCTGGGACGTCCTGGGTTTCGGAGCTCGGCTCTGCCATTTACCAGCTGTGTGACTTCAGGCGAGTTAATCAAGCTGCCTGTGCCTCAGTCTCATCATCTGTAAATGGGGCTGATAGTGATAGCACTGAACTTACTCAGTTGTTGCGGGGATGAAACGATCGTCACATGCACGGCTCTCAGAAGAGTGTGTGGCCAAGTAAAAGCTAGGCATGTGCTAACAATGATTTTTAATTCATTCTCTGCCCGCTGTGGCCGACCTCTCACTTAATGGTACAATCCTTACCCAGTCACCTCTGCCAGGACCCTGGGAGGCCGCTCAGATTCCTCCTCTTCCTCCCTTCCCTGTGTCCTGCTTTGCTCTCTCAACACCTCTCGAACCTCGCCCTTTCCCTCATCCCCCTCCTTCTGAGCCACTTAGATTGACAAACCACCCCAATTTGCCCAGGACCGAGGACGGCTTCCCGGGGCATGGGACATCCTGTGCTAAAGCCTGGACAGTCCCAGGCAAATCAGGACGGGGTGGTCACCCTTGCTCCAGACCCTCACCATCCCCTTTTCCTGGACAAACGCCGTAGCCTCCTAGTTGGTCCTCCTCATGCCACTGCAGTACCCCTTAGGTCCACCTTCCACATCTCTGCCCGAGTGCTCTTTCTAAAACCCCTCTGTCATTTCCCATTCTCCACGGCAGAAGGGCAGCAAAACCCTCTAATTTTGCATAGTGGGATTCCCCGCCCCCCCTCCTCACCCCTAAATATTAGTGCACTATTTCTGGGACAGCCCAGCCACTGGAGGAGAGCTCTGATTGGCTGAGAGGTCCACCCCCCCCCAAGCTGAAATCTACCTTCCTATTGGACAGCTCTGTGCGCGAGCCTCAAGCCCCAAGGTGGACCCCTTTACCCTCCTGCATTTCCCAGGTCCTGTGACAGTTTGTTTCTAATGACCTCTCTAAACAACCTGACTGTAGGCTTTTTGAAAATCGAAACTTCTCGCCCCATCGAGTTCCCTTTTACCCCTGCACTGCCTTACTCGGGGAAATTCCGGGAGACATTCTTTGCTCTCGGAACCCAGGCCGGTCCCTACGTGTTCTGCACAAATGGATGGATGATAAACGCCGAGTGGCAGGGGAGGTTCACGGGCGAGCTAGAGTGAAGGTATTCTCCGCTTGGAGAACAGGAGGGCAAGGGCATTCATGGTAGCTGGCTTGCTGAGTTTAACAGGCAGATATAGGCCAGATTGGAAGTTTGATGTAGGAAAATAGTGGGAAATAAGGCAGGAAGGGTAGGGTTGGAGCTTTGGGGACATGGGAGACAGGAAGCCACCAACAGTGAACTATGAATAGCAGCCTTTTGCTCAGCCCCTGAGACCCTTCGCAAATTCGGCTGGCCCTTTCAACTGACCTCCACGGCTGCACCTACAGAGTGAAATCCCAGAGTCCTGGGGTCCCCCATGGGGCCAAAGCCAGGCAGGTCCGCATGTGTCCAGGCATGCAGGCCACAAAGGGGAAATGAAGGCATCTGTCTACACAGCAAGCAGGTGGAAGGAGGCCTTTAGACTGCCTCTGGCTACCGGGAGGGCAGGGTCATGGGAGCCCAGATCCTGCTGGGAGTTACCTAGAGCGGCCTGATGCAGAGAAAGAGCACTGTGTCTGGAGTCAGAGAGATGCATCCCACACCTACTACTGTGAAAGCTTTAGAAGATCACAGTCAATACCTCTGGACCTTGGTCTTGTCCTCTGTGGGAACCCAGAGTTTCCCTCACCAGCAGGGGTCAGTTCAGGTGGGGTCCCCTAAGCTATCAGAATTCATCTGGCTTTCCCCACTCCCCAGCCCGCATAGGACTCCAGCCTCCCTGCAGTCTCTCCAGGTACTTCTGGAAGGTCATGGACCACAACTGCCCACCATAGCCAAGGGCCCCAGGCCCTGATGCTGCCGTGGGTCCTGATGCACAACAGGGGAGAAGTCCCCTTTCCCTTTGTGTCACTCTCTGTCCCAGCAAGGCTTAAGGCTTTCTGCCTTTGCTCAAACCCACCTATTCCGACTCATAGGAGTCTATAGATAGAGGGATGGTAGGAGGGGGCTTGGGCTAGGAGACAGACGGAGCAGCAAAAGAACCCGCAGTGGGGTCCGCATCCCCTCTGACAACTGAAGCCGCTACTCATGCTTGGCTCTTTCTTGCACAACTATAATTAAGAAGGAGTGTAACAACTGGCCAGCAAATACAGGGCTTACCGTGTCTTAGGCACTTGGTATATTCTCTCCCTTTTAAGCTTCACAAAACAATCCTACAAGGTAATTGCTATTACTACCATGTTTTTGTTTTTGTTTTCTCACTAGGTGAGAAATAAAAGCACAGAGAGATTAAGAAATACGTCCAAGGTCACACAGCTAATAATTAGTGGCAGAGTTGAGACCGGAACCCAGGCAGTCTGTCTGTAGGGCACCTGGGTGGCTCAGTCGGTTAAGCATCCGACTCTTGATTTCAGCTCAGGTCATGATCTCAGGGTCATGATCTCAGGGTTGTGGGTTCGAACCCCCTGCATCAGGCTCCGCACTCAGTGGGGAGTCTGCTTGAGATTCTCTCCCTCTGCCCCTCCCCCCTGTTCTCTCTCTCTCTTTCAAATAAATAAATAAATCTTTCTTTAAAAAACAAAAAAATGTCCTTGCCTGGGCTCGACTCCAGACCACTTAAATCAGAATCTCTAATTTTATATTTTGGAAAGGTGATGCTCATGAGCAGCCGGGATTTGCGAATTCTTGAATGAGAATGAATCCTTGAGGCTCAGAACATTGTGGGGATGAACCACCCAAAGCTGCTGTCTGCACGTAGGGGGCGCCGGCCACCTGGAAAGGCCATCTGACTGCCCCACGTGTATCTGACCCCTAGATGATTCCACGATACAAACAGATATAGGCCCGGTCTGCATCATGAGAATAGGTGGCTGCTTCCCAGGGAAATAATTTTGCATGTAATCCAATTCTGAGATCTGCAGTCGGGACTCATAGAACCCCTGAAATACTGCCCCCCCAACATTGCACATGTGCTATATGCACCTGGGATATGGGTATGCTGAGGCACCTGGATAACCTGGCAAGCACCAGCCACAGCATTCGCGGTGGTTTGAAATTTAGGACAACAGATCAGGAGAAGACTTGCAGACTTGAGAGACCCAAGGGCCGCGGGGAGCACAGATGCAGTTTCTGCAGACTTGTCAGTGCTCCAAGTCACTTGCAGAAGAGAGCTGGGGACCCCGTGGGCTGGACGGTGGAAATACACCGCAGAGGGCAGGAGGTGTTGGCAAGGTGAAGGTCATGAAGGCGACACTCACACGAGCTGTCTCTCTGTTGTAGACAGTGATGAACACCTTCCGGACAGCCACCATCCAGATCCAGAGCCAGGACCAGAGGCTCCTGACGCTGCTGCTGGACAAGGACAGTCGACGCACGTACAGGGATGTGGTCAGGTGAGGCTGGGCCTCACCACCCCTCCGTGCCCCACAGAGCAAGCCCCTACCACCTCCTGCCTCTAGCCCAGGACACCTGTCGGAGGCAGACCCTGGGGCCGGGCAGGTGGGGTCCACCTGCTGGCGTGGACTGAGGCCGGTGCCCGGTGACTTCCTGGGAATCCAGGAAGAAGAGCAAATGAATGGGGCAGCCGATTATACCAATGTTTCCGGAGATTTCCTCTGCATCCACTCAGCCCGTGACCGTAGCCTCAGATGCAACCCCCCTATGCGGGCACTGACCCCTCCCACACAGGCTGGCCTTCTGTGGCAGTTGTGCCCCAGTTAATGCGACCCTTAGCGGTTTCCCCCAGGGCAGAGTAGTTGGGTAAGGATGGGGTGTACACAGAGGGACCCATGCAGGCACACCTCCTCTCCCGGGGTTCACCCCTGGCCTGGGTGCTCTTTCCTTGCTCTGACTCCCCCTTCTCTGTCTGCAAGGCCTCCTCCCATATACCCTGCAATAGAGGGGTTGTCTTCACAATGCCCCAGCAGATCTGACTCCAGAGATGGGTCCCCTGAGCTGGCCTCTCTTCACCCACAGGTTCGAGGTTGCTCCCTGCCCAGAGCCGTGTTCCGGGATGCACAAGTCCAAGGCGCCGTGCTTCGGTTCACCCCAGCCGGAGGTGGAAGGGACCAAAGCCAAGCCCAAGCCCCTTCTGATGCCCATCAACACGTTCTCCGGCATCGTCCAGTGAGCCCGAAGGGGTGGCAGAAGTGCTGAATCTGAGAGCCCCAGACCAAGAGGAAGGATACACTACCCCGCCAGCCTCCCAGCCCTCACATCAGCAGCCGGGACAAGGCCTGGCTGCCCTGGGTGGCTTCTAGCTGTGAGTAGGAGCCAGCAAGTGACTGGAGCACAGGGAGCTCGGCCGTGGCAGGTGGTGGTGCAGGGCCCACACCCAGGCCCAAAGATGGCCCCCGCAAAGCTGCACACACACAAGCAAGACCCAGCTCCGAGCACAAATATCCACACGCCTTCGTTTATTTTTAGGCCCCTCCTCTCCCACTCAAGCTCCCCCCTCGCCCCTTAAAACCCAAGTGAGAGCTGCTATTTTGTCCAGGGCCCCGTGGCCTGGGGGGAAATGGGAAGCAGGGCAAAGGCACCTCCTCTCTCCTGAGTCTGTTCCTTTCCTCCCTCTAGCCACCACCCACGCCCTGCGTGCCCAGGCAGGTTTCTCTCCTGGAGGAGAGGAAAATGTCAGATTCAATAAAAGCACACTAAAGCACTTTTGCTTTTATCTAATACCTAGCGACATTTGGATTTTAATAGAGATCCAGGGCCGTACGTGATCTAACCTAATGAGTAGTCCTCTTAGGCCAGTTGGGAGTTCCGTGGAGTATTATTGGTGCATTCTCTCTGGCGCCCACCCCTCTCCCCGTTCACGTGGACTTAGGGACTTCTGCCCGGCACTGTCCCAGAACAGAGATGGGGATGCAAAGTCATTTCAAAGGAGCCAGATAGTAAAGACATGAAAATTCTTGGCTTTTGAGTTCCAAAACTTATATCCAGATGCAAAATAGGGAAGATCAGGGACACAGAACTTCTATCCTCACTGCTAGGACTAGGTAGGGGGCAGGAGGGAAAGCGGAGAGGGCAGCGTCCCAGGGGAGAGTGGGAGGAGGGTTGTGGAAGAATCCCTTTCAGGTTCGGGGATCCAAGGGTACAGAAGTAGGTGCTTTACTACCGGCCTCATTGCCCGGGGAGTGGGGGCAAGTCTGGAAGACTCCCTGTGAGACGGGCCTCCTGGGGGTCTAGGCAGAGGGGTCCAAGGGACACCAGTAGGGCAGTGTGCCCGCCCCTCAGTGGACATCAGCCCTGGACAGAGTGAAGACGGAGGAGTGGATGGATGTGAGATCCTCCATTGAAGCTGCCCCCTCCCAAAACAGAACCCAGGGAGAGAGGGATTAGGGACAGTCCCCAGTGAGCCTGAGTGGTTTTGAACCAGAAATGACCGATATCACTGACTTTGAGTGAGTTCACCTGGAGGTGGCTAGGTATTATTTCTCTGCTCTTGGCGTGATATACACTGATTCCTATCAATTTTGGCATTCACACAGTTACTAGATTCTTTCAGTAAACATTTGCAGAGTTTACCAGTTGTTAGAATTAGGTGAGATCTCCGGGCTCCCCCTGCAGTAATCTCTCTACCAGCTCACCATGGAAAGCAAGTTGCAGACCGAATTTTGCTACGCATTCAGACCGGTGTTGGCAAGCCGCCATCCCCCTCAACCCCAACCGCCAGCCAAACTAGGTGCTCTGAGCACACCTTGCATGAAAATTTCACGGAATCAGTGGCTGGATGTTGGACCATTTGGGAGTGAAGCTTATGACACCATTTCAAAGGGCTGGACCAGTTGGGATCTCCAGATTCCTATAAATGCTCGCCCAAGGAGCAAAGGTCTCCAAGAAAATTATAACCAATCCACGTGACACGGACACCACTAATATCACCAGTGAAATTTCGCCAGTATCTATCAGGCTAATTAGTGAAACCCCTTCGGTTGATCTGACTGTTGACGTGTTGGTATTCGCTGCCTCTGGAGCGCAGCTTTTGGATTAAATGTTAGCTAACTTCCTCTGGAGGGTGTACCCCCTAATTGGACCACGGAGCACCCTTAGGTGTAGATCAAAACTCTCCGGTACATACACACTGTTAGAGGGGCTGGGACGGCTGCCTGGATGGGGTGCAGAGTGCCACCCCAACGCAGCCCTCAGCTGTCCGCCCTCTGGGGATCGCTCCGCTCAAGAAAGCTGTCACCCAGGGGCGCCTGGGTGGCTCAGTCGTTAAGCGTCTGCCTTCGGCTGAGGTCATGATCCCAGGGTCCTGGGATCGAGCCCCACATCGGGCTCCCCGCTCCGCGGGAAGCCTGCTTCTCCCTCTCCCACTCCCGCTGCTTGTGTTCCCTCTCTCGCTGTGTCTCTCTCTGTCAAATAAATAAAATCTTTTTTAAAAAGAAAGAAAGAAAGAGAAAGAAAGAAAAAAGAAAACTGTCACCCACAGTGCCTCTCCCGGGGGGCAGCTGGTATCCAGTGAAAGAGCTCTATGCCCCGGGGACAAAAATAGCCGCCTTCCTGGAGTTCTGATTCTGATGGAGACAGACAAACAAGATAAACACGCGCAACAGAAACCCGTGGAGTGCTGGGCGGTGATGCGTGCTACGGAGAAAAATAAGGCAGGGGAGGAGGTGGGATTTGTCAGCGACGGTGGACAGGGACGGTCCCTGAAGGTACCAGGGCGGTCCTTGACAGGTGAGGGGGCGTCAAGACCTGAAGAAGATGAGGGAGGGAGCCCCCATTACGAATTCCATTCCCGCTGCCCCCACCGTCCACCAATTTTCCTTGCCCGAGGCAGCTCAGGGAGCTAACTCAGGTTTGCGGGCGAGCAGGCGGCTAGCTCGGAGGGTACCCCGCAGGCCACAGGCACCACCCTCGCGCACGCGCGCACGGCCGGGGCCCCCCCGCAGGTGCGGCCTGCAGGTGCGCCGGCCCCGCCCCCCAGGTGCGGCGTCCCGGGGGCGGGGCCACTTCCGGGCCGGCTGCCGTACGTGGCCGGGGGCGGGGGAGGGGGCGCGGCCGTTGACCCGGTGCCCGCGGCGCCGCCCGAGGCCGGACGCGACTCCCCGCGCCCCCGGCTCCCGGGCCATGCCCCCGCGGCCGCCCCACGCCCAGCTCGGCTCCCCGCCCGCCCGGGAGCGACGGAGCCGGGCCGCCATGAACGCCAACCCCCAGTGGGACATCAGCAGGGCGCTGCGGGTGGCCAGGCTCTTCCACCTGGTGTGCGGGGTCCGGGACGCCTGCGTGACTCCCTTCCTGGCTCTCTACCTGAGGCAGCTGGGCTTGGCCGCGCCCTGGGTGGGCATCCTGATGGCGACCAAGCACCTGATCGCGGCCCTCTGGGCTCCCTTCTGTGCCTTCCTGGCCAAAAGCTACCGGAAAAGGAGGGTGCTTCTGATGGGCTCGCTGCTCGGCTCGGTGGGAGCCAGCCTGTTGATGGTCCTGGTGCCGCCGCCGGACAAAGATCCGGCGTACCGCTCCTGTAACGCCGGCGACCGCGCCACCCCCACGGCCCTGCCACCGCCACCGGGGGCCGCACGAACTGTGACCGTCGCCTCGGCCCGACAGCCCGCCTCGCGCCACGCGGCGGGGGCGCCCAGCCCCCCAGGCGAGAGCAGGACTGGGACGCTGGACGCCTCTGGCTTCAGAACGGCACCTGCGGGAAGCGGCCACCAATCATCCGGCCGGCCGCCTGGCTACGCCGTGCGCTCCGTGGAAGGCTTAGCCAGGACCACGTCCCCAGTTCTCCATCCTGACACTTCAGGGGTGAAGGATACTCCTGGGGAAGGTGCTTTGAAGGCGGGCAGGACGACCCTCCCTTTGCTTGCGGGGGGTACAGCCCCGGGAAGTCCGGCCAACTTGTCAGCAGCCCAGGGGAATGGCCGGACCCTTGGCCTCTCCTTGGAAGGCTTGCGCTGGACTTTCTTCCTCTCCCTGGGGTCCCTGGTGTTCTGGGAGCTGCTGTCAGCCCCTCTGGAGCAGGTGGCCGACGACAGCCTTTATGAATACCTGGATTTTGTGGACGCCACGGACCGCTACAGAAGCCTGTGGATCTGGAGGCTGTTGGGCATGTCGGCAGGTGTGTGTGGCATCGCGGCCCTGGTGGCGCAGCTGGAGTGCGTCCTCATGACAAATGGCCCCCGGGGTGTGTTGCATTTCTATGGCTACTCGCTGGTCAGCACCCTGGCTTTACTGGTGAGCATTGCCTTTCCCGTCCCCATCTGCAGGCGGCAGGAGCCCAGCTACAAAACGGTCAAAGCGCTGTCCCTGGTGGGCGGCGACCCCCGGCTCATTCTCCTAGCCCTCACCGTGTTTCTGATAGGCGCGGCCACCAGCACGGTGCAGAACTTTCTGTTCTGGTACATGGAAGACCACGGGAGCAGCGAGCTGGTCATGGGTTTCTCGGTGGCCCTGGGCTTGCTGGGGGAAATTCTACTCCATCCGTTCAAAGCGATGCTGCTGAAGAAACTGTCCAGGGTGGGCACGGTGGGGCTGGGGCTGGGCTGCCTGGCGGCCCAGCTGCTTTATTACTCCTTCCTCTGGAGCTGGTGGTCGGTCCTCCCCGCTCAGATCTTGAGTGTCATCAGCAACGGGGCCCTGTGGTGGGCCGTGAAGGCCTCCGTCGAGGACCTGGCCACTCCCGGGACGGAGAGACCTCTGGGAGCCATGTTCCGAGGCCACATTTACGGGGGAGGGTCCAGCCTGGGCAGCGTTGTGGGGGGCTTCGTGGCATCGTCCTTCAGCCTGGCTGTGCTGTATCAGGCCTGCTGCGTGGTCCTGGTGCTCTGGCTGGCCCTGTTCCTGTCCATCCAGCCCAGGCTACCCCAAGAGCAGAAAATCAACTACTCGAAACTGCTGGTCATGGAGGCCAGTGACACGAGCGACTCTGAGCAGGGGACGGAGCGGGACTGGCTGGTGAAGGCCATGAGGGAGGAGTACTCAGAGTAGAAGGGCAGAGAGAAGATCAAGATGCGCTGACCCAGGAAGGCGCCCGAGGGGCTGGACAAGAACTCACCTGCTGAGGACAAACCCTGCATCCCGCCCGGGGACTGCAGGGGAGTCTGGAGAGAGAGAGAGTAAGTTTGTGCAGAAGCCCCCCCCCACCCCCACTCCGGGGATCATCTCATTGCATGATTTTCTCTTACGGTAAAAGGAGATTTAACTTTTTGCTGTTCAATCTTTTTTAAATAATGGAAGAAGAATACATTTGCTTAAAAAAAAAAAAGCGCCCTTTGTATTCACCACATTTTGGTGTCTAAGGTTTGCAAGAGCTTGATGGTACTGACTCCGGTGCTGTTGATTTCAGCCACGGCTGGAGTGCGCAAACAGTGGGGACCCGCAGGATTCAGTTGGCAGAGGGGGCGGCTGGCTTTGTTTGGTGAGTCACGTGCATTGCCATGGGTCCTAAAAGCAGGAGCCTGGTCCTATAGAGGCCATGCTGTGGGCAGGTAAGAATGGGAATGAAAACCAAGCAGGTGCCTACACTCATACCCAGGTACCTGGGTTTCCCAACCAGAGCCAATGCTAGGCAATGTACTCTGTGTTGGGGGAGCAGGGATTCAGGTTAATATGTTTTCAGTCTTCCTCTCGGATGTGTGTGTCACTGGGGGTATGATCCCTAGAACTGTCTTCCTACTTATATCCGAGCAAGGGCGGCTTCATGTCTTTGGGCACATATCATGCACGCTCCGCCCCGCACAAGTTCATGGAGATTGTTTGCATCTGCTTGATTGGGGTGCGGCGGCCTCTGTAGGGTTGGGGTGCCACAGGTGGTCCACACTTGTACCTGTGCTTAGTCACTCAGCGGGGTGGCTGCTCAAACCCTCCCCCAGCCCAGGAAAGGGCCCTTTATTCCAGAAGCCAGAGATCAAGTCCTCTACCTTATAATAAGGTAAGTATAGGATATTGGATCTAGAAGGGCCTCACTTTACAAATGTGAAAACGTCTCATAGCTGGAGAAGGGGGATGAACCCATGAATGCCCACTGGGTCAGACATGGTTCTAGGAAATTGATTCTTTTTCAATTTTCCCTGCAAAGCTTTAGGGTATAAATAACCAACAACAAAAAAAAGTTAACCTCTGCCTTAAATAATTAGGGATTCGTTTGTCTCACATAAGAAGTCTGGGGATAGGCAGTCCAGAGCTGATACAGCTGTTCAGCAGTGCTACACCTAGGGACCTAAATCTTTTCATCCCTCTGTTCCCATCACCTTCAGCTCATAGATCCCATATTTGTCCACTCATAATAACAGAATGGCTGCCGCACCTCCAGGCCTCTCATCCGTGTTCCAGGCAGGAAGAAGAGGGAAAAGGGAGAAACAGGAATGAGTGCCTATATCAGGGGAACAAAAGCCTTCCCAGAAATCCTCGGCAGATTTATGCCATCCCGAACTGCAAAGCAGTCTGGGAGGTGGGGTATTTTCCACCAGGCACGTTTACATTCCAAGCAAAGTCAGGGTTGTGTGAGGAAGAAGAGGGGGCTGAATGTCAGATCGTGTCTAGCGCAGTATCAGATGTGAAATTCACGTCCAGGCCTGTCTTACTGCAAAGTCTGTGTTCCTCCCTGCACGGTAAGCCAGGCTCCCTGGCCTAAATGGCTTTAACAATTCCACTGCCCTGGGCGCCTGGGTGGCTCAGTCGTTAAGCGGCTGCCTTCGGCTCAGGTCATGATCCCAGGGTCCTGGGATCGAGTCCCACATCGGGCTCCCTGCTCTGCGGGAAGCCTGCTTCTCCCTGTCCTGCTCCCCCTGCTTGTGTTCCTGCTCTCGCTCTCTGTCAAATAAATAAATAAAATCTTTAAAAAAAAAAAAACAATTCCACTGCCCTGCCAACAACCCTGCGATTCAACCATATTTGTTATCTGCGTGTTACAAAGGAGAAGACAAGAGTCTCGGAAAAGTCACACATTGGGTCGCTGGCGGAAACACCACCAGAGCCCTAATCGCCTTCCCCCAAATTTTGATCATTTTCTGCGGTGCCACAGTTCCCAAGCCCGGCTGTCCATCCGAGTCATCTGGGGAGCAGATCCAAAAAGACAGGTTCCTGGGTTCCATCAGAACCTGCTGGCTGGCACCCAGAAATCTGTATTTTTAATGCAATCTCCGAGGCATTGGGATGTGCCCTTTCCAGCCCTGTCTGTCTCGCCACTCCTTCAGGAATGCTTCTAGCATGCAGGGAAACGCACGGTAGCTGCTGAGGGGTCACCGTGTGCTAGACACTGTTGTGAGTACTTGACACGAAGCGATCTTAGGACGAAGCCAGTGTCACCACCTCCAATGTACAGATGCCAAAGTGACAGCTCCGTAACTTGCTGGAGGTCAACAGCTAGGAAGTGGCAGAGCAGGGACTCAGATCCAGCCTGGTGGCACCACAGCCCGAGACTTTAATCACCATGCTCTATGGTTAAGGAATGGGAGAAAAGGAGGGAAATTCAGTATTAGGATTTAAGGTAGCCAGCACTTGAAATTTACTGGACGGGAGACAGAACTTCCTACGCAGATAGAACACACAATAATATCAAAACACAAACACAGGTGTGTCCCCCTAATGTAAACAAAAGGATGAGGAACAGGACTTGGTTTAAGGAAGGACTGAAGTTAGGAAGCGTGGTTTGACCTGCAGAAGGAAGGAGAAAGAGGAACAGAAGGAGCTAAGTGACGTGCCAGTTTAAGGATCTAAAAGATTTTACAGGGAAGGTACTGAGAAATTTGTGTTTGGGCTATTTAGTTAATATGTGACAATCCTCTGTTTTTCGTTTTTTTTTTTTTTTTAAAGATTTTATTTGTTTGACAGAGAGAGACACAGTGAGAGAGGGAACACAAGCAGGGGAGTGGGAGAGGGAGAAGCAGGCTTCCCACCGAGCAGGGAGCCCGATGTGGGGCTCGATCCTGGGACTCTGGGATCATGACCTCAGCCGAAGGCAGACGCTTAATGACTGAGCCACCCAGGGGCGCCAACAATCCTCCGTTTGTAAAGAATGATGCCCCCTGTCATGGGGAACTCAAGAATGAAGAAAATGCACAGTCCCTCCCCTCAAGAAGCTAATGGTCTAACAGGGAGATTTACTTACAAACATACGCACGTACCTCAGGCAGCACACACGTCGTGGAAAAGGCCACGCAAACAGCATCACGGGAGTGAGGAAAGGGACAGATCATTCCTGACTCAGGAATTCAAGGAAGGTTTCGTGGGGGTGATATGTAAGCCAAGCTAACAGGTACAGAGAGGGTGGTAGCTCGGGGACTCGATCCCAGGACCCCGGGATCATGACCTGAGCTGAAGGCAGATGCTTAACTGACTGAGCCACCCAGGCGCCCCTACACTAAACTTTTTTTAAAAAAATCAGCTTTATTGAAGTATTATTTACATATAATAAAATACACATATTTAAATGGTACAAGTTGACATATATACAAATACACACCCCTGAAACCATTACCACAATCAAGATAGTGAGCATATCCATCACCCCCCAGATTTCCTCCTGCCCCTTTGTAAGCCTTCCTCCACCCTGGTCCTAAACAGCCACCAATTGGTTTTCTGTCACTATGTAGTGGTTTGCATTTTGGTAATACATACCAAAGACTATGGTATGTATTATTTTATGTCTAGCTTCCTTCACTCAGCATAATCGCAGTGACTTCTGACACCAACCACCCTGAGTTAAGCCAAATTCTACTGGTTAAGGGCACCCAACTGCCCCCAGCTCCCTTCGGACCCCCAAGGCCACCCTCACTTCTGACCAACCGGCTGCACATTTGGAGGTTCCCAACCCCCCTCAGGTTCCAGAATTCACCAGAATGATTCCTAGGACTCCGAAAAGTGTTAACACTTATGATGACAGATTTGTTAGAGCCAAAGAGGACAACTCAGAATCAGCCAGAAGAGGGGCGCCTGTCTGGCTCCGCTGGTGGAGCACACGACTCTTGATCTCGGGGTCATGAGTTCGAGTCCCGTGATGGGCACAGAGATTACTTAATAAAAATAATAATAATAATGATGATGATGATGATGATGATAAAAGAATTAGCCAAGAGAAAAGATGCGTGGGGCAAGTTCTGGGAGGATCCTGACGTGAAGGGTCATGTGTCCCCCCACCCCCAGCCCCGTGAGTCGGACCACCACGTGCTCTCAGCTCATTGATGTGCGACGTTACACAGAGTACTGCCAATAATCAGGGGGACCCACCAAGCTTCAGTGTCCATGGCTTTTACTGGGGCCTCATTACAGAGGCATGATTGAAGGAAGGACCAAGTCCTAAAGACTCAAGGTATGACTTTTACTCTATTATCTCTCCGGCAGGTCAGTAAAGCTTCATAAAATCAAGTGACTGAAATTCTTAGCTCCCAGCCTATGGCTATCAGAGATACTGGGTTCTAGCATATCCTGGTTCCATCTAAGAGGAAAGCAAACACTGAATGAGCCATTAACCTTTATGTTCAGGTTTACTTAGGCCATTATTTTCCAAGTGAGTTTTGCAGAACACTCAGTCCTCAGGTGGTGGGAGTTACAAGGTTGCAACACATATTAGCAGTAAAGGCTCTGTAAAGCCCTGTAGTCCACCAACTCATTTAGCTCTGTTGGACCTGTAATTCCCCTTACCCATGGGTTGTCACAACCTCCTTCCTGGTAACACACATCACTATCTTTCAGAACTAGTATTTCCTGGGTAATACTTTGGAAAATGCCAATGTTGGTAGTTCTCCATGTGACCTTTTCAACTCGGCAGAGCCGGTGCTTGGGGACAAATCTGGGCTCCCACCCCCAGACTGGCAAGGATCCTGAGAATCCGTGCTAAGAACTTGGCTGAGCTTGCACCATTAAATCAGATCATGAACTCATTTTACTGGTGAACTAACTAAATTCAAAGCTAGGTCTGTTTGAGCCACCCTGTCAGGCTCTGCGTTACAACAGGTTCAGATAAGTGGAGCGTGTATTCCTGGCCGGCG